TAAAGAAAATCAGGATCCACCATTTGTCAATGTCAAATTGGATTGATCCTTGGATTGTGAGTACATTCTTACTGCAAAAAAGCTGTCATCAGTCACGTGCCGCACGTATATGGGGCAATTTAGAGCTGTCTTCCTCAATCTGATGCCCTGAGAATGTTATCCATGTTGCTTGGGGATGATGGGATATAAAGTCTGATCCATCAGGGAGACAACTGTTTGGGGAAGGTGACACAGAACATTCATAGGCTGATTCACATATAATGTTAACCCTTGTGATGGTTTTTTGAATTGTGGGTTGTTGTGCTGTGTGAACTCAGCTGAATTGCAATGGTTTTTAACCCACAATAACATTCCAGAAAAAGAATCCATGGCTTTTTACTGCATTGCAAATTCTGGTTTGTTTAAACCATGGGCTGTCTTTATGTGTGAGCTACAACCATGAGTTATGCATGGGCTGTTTTGCCAGGCTACAAATGCGGCAGGCAAGAGTGGACCAAAAAAACAGCCACACTACAAGCCAGTACAGGCAAAGGCATTTGGGAAGCAGGGGAGGGAACAGGAGAAGAAAGTGGAAATCAGAAAGCCCAGGAATTAAAAGAGCAAATCATGGGCAGGATAACAAATAATCAACGCAACCCGTTCTGGCTTATTTAAGCTGCTGTGGGTTGTGGTTCCCGTGAGTGCCAACTGGCCTGTTCAAGCCCCCTGCTGCAACTTCTCGTGTCGTCTGAACCTGGCAAGACTGGCTTCTTGGGGTGGTTAACAAACCAGCTTACACCATCCAGGATTGGACCATAGGAGAAGCCTCTAGTGAGGGTAATTATGTACAGTAAGTAGGACTGGCATACTAGGCTAGTTATCACCCAGCCATGTTTTATTAACCACCCTTGTGTCGAGTATCTATGGGTTAAATAAATGGTTACAGTCAAACCAGGTCATAAATAAATCCATGGTTTTGATGCAAGTCACCCAGAGATCTTTGGCAATTAGACAAAGAAATATAGAAATGCAAATAATAATAACCCATTCAAACCAGGGCACAGTGTTTGAAATAGGGATGCATGGATGCTGTTAAATCTGTTCCATCAGCGTTTCATGGATTGTCAGGAGCTTTTCATCCCATCATCTATGCATTGACTAATCTGGATCCTTATTTTTAGGGAAGTGATAGAATTTCACTCCGGTTTGCAAATGCACTTGTGCAGAAAGGTGTAATCGTGCAACAGTAGATTGATGCATTTGTGCAAACCCCCCAGAAGTTTTTAAAAAATGATTGATGAGTCCACGGGATCCACACAACTAGGAAGAAGCCAGTGCAGTGCAGAATGGTTCAGTCAGATTCACAGAAATCCAAATAAGTTGGAATCCATTGCAGATTTCTCCAGATTCCTTTATTTGAAAAAAACAAGTGTTATTCAGTGCAGGTTTGCCATGGCTGCTTTGTACCAGGAACAAATCTCATTCATCGGCAGATCTACTCAGGAGAGCTGGGGCCACCCATTTCATTCTGTGCATCAGGCCGCAGCACATGACACCTGGGGCACCAGCCCAGATCTATTTTTACACATCTCAAAGCAGAGCACAAACGATTTCCCATGGGAACATCCTGGAGCACTTTGCCAATGATTGCAACTGCTTTCTGGTCCCAGTTTTTCTTTCCTGTAAACAAACAAACAAACCTGCAGGAAAAGGGCCATCCCTGAATTCAGATGCTCAAGGACTTCCACTTGGGGAGCCTCGAGGGGAACGATTGTTCCTGAAGAATCACAAGGGAAGAACCCCCCCGCCCAATCCCCTCTGGGTATTTATTGGCTGCAGTTGGTGTTGAGTGTGTGGTTTCTAAGTGTGCAATGCAGAGACCCCCATTGCCACTGTCAGCTCCTTGCTTCCTTTGACATCTAGAGATAGAGGTGCATCCTTGCTAGCACAGTCCCTGGCTGGTATGCACTGGGGGGATTTCCTGTGATGCTGGGGGAAGAGGCATCCACCTTTTTAATCTCCGTTTTGTGTGTCCGGGGTTGTGTTTTTCCCCTTCCAGCAGAAGAGAAGAGCCTCAAACGTGGGCCAAATCCAGGCCTCCTGGCATCCCATGCTGGTCATTTCAGAGGTCCCCGGGTGGCCGCTTTCCCTTCCCTTCATCCCACTGCCTAATGCTTTCTTCCTGATACTCCTTCAGCTGTTGCATTTTGGGTTTGCCCCTCGCCTTTGGCCCTGCCCCCTTTGCCTTTGGCCACACCCACCATGGAATGTCGCCTCAGAGAGCTTCTCTGGAATTTGGCCTTTGGCGGATTAGCAGTGCATTATTCTGCTTTCTCTCTGGCATGGCTGGATTATAGGACTGCTCCGCCCGTGTCTGTCACCAGGTCCCTTTAAAAGCCCTCAAAGGGGCCAGGTGTGGCTTAGCAGCATCAGGCTTCCACAGTGTGGCATTAGAGCATCTTGGCTCGAATCATGAGTCTGGGGATGTGGGAGAGCCACTGCCTGGGAAACTGGGAGATAGGAGCAGCACCTCTCAACACCTTTCCGTGGCTTCTCCACAGACTTGAGAACCTCTTTTGGTGAGGGCCAGGCCGTGGGTGGCAGCAAGGAGGGACAGAAGGCCGGGTCCAGGGTGCGAGCTCGAGCTGAGTCTGGAGCTCAGTACGGGCAAGTCGGCAGGTCCAGGTCAACGGGACGGATGAAAGCAGTCCGAATTTGGCACGCAGAGAGAGAAAGAGCAAGTCAGAGCACGGTTCCAAAGGCAGTTTACCAGAGAGGTGTTGATGCAAGGGCTGCGGCAAGCTGGCGTGAGACAGACTCTACTCAGAGGAAAGCTGGAAGAGCAGGAAGGGCACTGGCTGGAGCAAGGCTGGGCCAGCACACAGGAAGCCAGCAGGGCACCTGCACTGCTGTGGCCGGGAGCCTCAGCGCAGGGAAGCCTTTTAGGCTGGTCTCCAGACCCTCCAGCTGCACTGCATAATTGCTCCACAGGTGTTCATTGCAAGTGTACACAAAGGCGCTCCTGGTTCTGCGAGCACTTGCAGAGTTTCTCGGGCCCCGATCCTGACATTGTGACACTGAGGGGCTGAGATCCTTTGAGGACAATGGCTCAAGACGCCAGTTCATACCAATAACAAAGCACCCAGCAGTTCAATTTGAGCAAGCGTAGAGTAATGCGTCTTGGGGCAAAACATCCCACCTTCAACTACAGGCTGATGGGACCTGAGCCGGCAGGGACTGAGCATGGAAGGGGGCTTGGGGCAGTGGGGGGCAGCCCCATGGAAATGTCGGCCCAGCACTCGGCTGCCGTGAAGAAGGCAAACTCCGCCCCAGGCTTAATTAGGAATGGGACAGAAAATAGAGCTGCTGACATCTTGCTTCCTTTACACAAGTCTTGGTGCAGCTGCACTTGGAATATGGTGCGCAGTTCTGGTTGGCTTAACGGAAAAAGGACATTACTGAGTTGGAAAAGATATAGAGAAGGGCAACAAAATTGACTGGGGAGCTGGAGCAGCTCCCTGTGAGGAGAGGCTGTGACAACTGGGCAGTTCGGCTCAGAGAAAGGGGAGGAAGGGGAGGCATGATGCAGGTGTCTAAATAATGCGTGGTATGGAGAAGGTACAGAGGGAGGCCTTTTTCCCTCTCCCATAACACTTGAACCCAGGGTCATCCCAGGAAGCTGACTGGTGGGAGGTTTAGGACAGATCAAAGGAAGGACTTCTTCACACAGTGTCTAGTTGAGCCATGGGATTCACTGCCATGGGGTGGTGGCCACCTATCTGGATGGCTTTAAAAAGGGGCAGGACAGGTTCATTTGGGAGGAGGGTATCGGGGACTACTAGGCTTGCTGGCCATGGACTACCGCCTTCACCAGAGGAGGCCTGCCTGCAGACACCAGTTGCTGAGGCGCTTGGGCAGGGGGAGGTCTGGCCCCCACCCTGCTGGGGGGATCCTGTGGGCAGCTGGTTTGCCACCACGTGCATGGAGTGCTGGACAGGACGGACCTTTGGTCCGACCCAGCATGGCCGTTCTTCGGTTCTTCGAGAGACTTACCATGCAGCCTTCCACTTCGTAACCTTTCGCCCTCCCGTGTTCTCCTACCCCTGCTGTTACCCTTTTCCTTTCCACAAAAGCTTGGTTAGGCAGGAAGAGCCCGGCCTGCTTTACAAGGAGGTGCTCCGAGCAGAAAGCATCGCATCAGCATGCCTCTCCCCCTTCTTCTCGGCGGATTTTCTGCAGGAAGGAACCAGGCAGGAGAAGCGGTGGGAGAACACAGGAGGGTCCTTGCCCTGGGACTCTTGCAAGATGTCTGGGGTGCAGGGATACATTACGAAATGCAGGCACTCCTTGCCATAGTCCTCAAAGTTCATACAGCCAAGGAGCGTCCCAGAAAACCGGCAGCAGAATGAGTCCATATCAACCAACCGCTTCCAGCCATCTTCATCTCCACTGGAGAGAGAACTAATGAGCCTTAATTGCCCCAGAAAGACCTAGGTAGCTTTGGTGTATCAAAATTTCAGATGAACGAATCCTACTCTTACAGTTCTGGGAGAAAAAAGAGGTGCCACGTGGCTTTACGGCCTCGTCTCTCCCTACAGTTCAGGCACTTGCGTCCTGTTGTGTCTGAGAGACAACCAGCAGAGCCCACGCCATCAGGCCGGCTGGGACAACCGCCATTTGGGTGCCTCGTTCCTCTTCCAGATCCGCCCCCTCAGCAGTCCTTCCACCTGTTCATAAGCAGGAATTATGTAACTTCCAGCCCTTGCTGCCCCCCCCCTTCCCTTGTGTCTATTCATTGAAGGCTTGCTGATGCGGACATCGCCTTAAATTTCTGTGCAATGTTTAAATTTTGCGGATAAGTTTGTACATGGTGAATAGTAATACTTTGGGCCTCTGAAAGAAGAGAGTTTTTATTACTACTAGAGGATGACGGTGCGCATGTGTGTCTGGAAGAGAACCTGTTTGTACCTTCTCTCTCCCTGTGTTAAATCTCTCACGGGTCAAATGTTCCGGTTTTTCAGGCATCGGAGGTGGAAAGGCGGCTGTCTATGCAGGTTCATGTCCTCCAAGAGGACTTCAGGGAAAAGAAGTCATCGACCAACCAGCACATAGTACGACTAGAGAGCCTCCAAGCAGAGGTGAGTCCTCCATTGCTTTCGGTCCACTTCGAAAAGGAGGGGCTTCGGCAGCTTTCCCCAACCTGGTGCCCTCCAGATGTTTGGGACTTCGGTTCTTATCAGCTCTACCCAGAATGGCCAGTTGCTGGGAATTCTTGCAAGTTGCACTCCAAAACGTCTGGAAGGCACTTCCTTGGCTGCATTTAGGGATGAAAAGTCTCCACTGCACCTCTGCAGTTGCACCTGGTGCATTCAGTGGAATGATATGGTAACGCCCTTCTGGAGTGTTGCACAGAAGGCTGTGCGGGGCGGATTGTGTGCTCAGATGCTTCCCTGCACGTCCCATGATGGGAGACAGGCTGGACCCTTCCCCCCACAGGCTGGATGGTCAGGGAAGGCAATTATAGATACAGAGGGAGTTTTTTTCATGGCAAAGAGCATTCAGTCATTCAAGGCCTCCCCTGCAGCCTAAAGTGGTACAAGCCAGAAAAAGTCTTTTCACTCAATCCTGCTGACCAGGCTGGTCTAAATATGGCATTATAGATTCTAAGCCTACAATTCTTGCTCCTTCGGCAAAGCTCCTAGGATATCACTTGTCTTCAAGGTTCTAGACCTCATGATTATGGAAATGAATGTATGCATAGACGCACGCATGCACACGCACAAAATCTCTGTAGCTGCTCTAAAAAAGGACAACTGAGAGGACATGACTCTCACCAGAAAAGGAAACTTCTCTGCTTTGCACAGCTCTCTTCATCATCTTTGGGCCTTCAAGTCCTGCCCAAAAACCAGAAGCTCCTGTTCTCCCAGTGACCTCCATGTCTCGTTGTGTCCCCTTCTTCCTTCCCTTTCCCTGTTGCTCGAGGAAAAAGGCTGCAAAACATTCAAGCTTTGCACCACGGAAACACGATGCCTAGAAATAGGCTTCTCGCAGTTTGCCTCCTATCCCGGTTGTGCTGTTTGGACTTTTCCCCTAGCACAGAATTCTATCCCAGCCCCGCCTGGGGTAGCAAAAGATTTCAGGCTTGAAGAACAAATAGGTCCAGGGAATAAACGTCAAGGGGGGAGGTAGGTTCATTTAAAAAACAGGCTCAGGTGATGCAAACCTGCTTTGGGCTTTACCTTTACCTTAGCTTACCTCCTGCGAAGTTCTGTCCACACCAGCAGGTGAAGCCATCAAACAACTCTGCAAACTTTTCATAGCATCGTTTGTTGTAGGGAGGGAGTACCGGAAACCATTCCCTGGGGGAACAGCTTTGCACACATGCAGTTTGAGAAATGATGTTCAGGTGCTGCAAGCTTTTTCTAAGGCTGCGGTAGCGGCAAAAGTGTAGCCAAGCCGTGGAAGAAGCCATTGCAAAGAACGCTTTTTTCTGTCAGCGTTTGTCCAGGGGAGAAGGGTTGGTGGTGAGTGGAATAGCCTCTCCTCAGATTGGCTCCATGGGCCATCTCATGGTTTCATCTTTTAAAAAAACCAGTCATTTAATTACTGCAAAAATGTTTTCCAGCAAGAGTTGATTTAAAAAAAAAAATGAAATGCAGGAATAGCGCTGTAACAGCTTAATATGAAACTGTTAAAAACAAAACACCTACAGCACCCTTTCTGATCAATACCATAATGGGAATGGAGGGGGGATTTTAATAAATAGTTTTTGCAAGATGTCCCTTACCATATGATCATGTCATCACATTATATTACCAAAATTAACATTATGGTGTTACGGGGCTCGGAGTTGCTCTGTACTCAATAACAAATAAAAGAGAGGAGACGACAATGGCCCCGGTTCTTCAGCAAAAAGAAGGTGCCTGTTGCTTCCTTTAAGGGTTAAGTATGACTGAGCCTGTGGTGCCCCTGGGGAGGAGCAGGAGGAACAAAAAAGAAGCGGCTGGCAGCAGTGGTGGGAAGGTAGACTTGCTGGAGAAAGTGGTCCGTGGAGGGTCTCTTGCCCAGGGGCTCCCAACACCTGAGGAAGGGGACTGCGCCGACCAGTCACCACGGCTCATGCACGTGCTTCCCACGGGGGAGGTCACATCCGTGGTCCCGCCAAAGCCTCTCGAGCAAGAGTGCTAGAAAAGACCCCTGCAGCTAGTCCGGAAAAACAGTAGTCTCCTCCAAAAGTAGCCCCATAGGTCCCCCATGGCTCCTGAATATCAGGAGCTGTTTTGGAATCCCGGGCAGAGGTGTTTCTCAGCCATGGAGAAGGGCCACATTTGGAAAGCAGAGATGCAGAATCTCAAGCCCGCGGGCCAGATTCATCCCTCTTGGGGCCCCAGTCTTGCTCTCCAAGCTCCCCCTGAAAGCCATGCCACTGACAGCCCACTGGTTTCCTGACTTTTGCAAGGTCAAAATGCCTTCAGACTGATTTTTTAAAACCTTTGGCCCCACCCCTTTCCCCATGATCCCTGCCCCCTTTTGGCCCCACCCACCCCTGAAATATCAGGGGACCCATCCAGTGTTTCTCTGAAATGGAATTTGGCCCTTGGGCTGAGGTTCAACACCCCTGCTGTGAAGCGATGGGAGGGATCGGGTTCCATTTCAGAAGTTTGGAGGGTCCTTAAGTTCCTTTTCCTTACGTTTGTCTATCTCTTGTTCCCACCCCCCAATCCACCCTGACGTGTTCCGTCGTCCACTCCCTCCTTCCCTGTTCCTTCCTTCTTTGGCCGTGGAGCAGCAAATCCTTGAAGTAAGTACAGAAGCTTTCATGGGGTTCGAAATGCATGCCCATCGGCTTCCTCCGTTGCACGTCTGGCTTGTTTTCATGGCTTCAGCCATCGGGGTTTCCAGACCTGCTCATCTGCTTTCTGTCCCTGCTGGGGTGCCGTAGGAGTTGGTTGAGCATTTTGTGGAAGTCTGGGTGGTACTCCAGTAGCACGGGACTCTTTTGAAAATGGAAAACCTCGCGCAAGTCTTGAACATGCAATGTCCGCATTTCAGCTTGGCAACCCACTTTCTGAGTGGCCATGCTGGCTCAACCAAGGTGCTGCAGGGATATTCCCATCATGCTTTGCTTGTGAGACACCGACCACAGCATCTGCCTCTCATGAAGCCCTTGGACCTCTAGGGTGGGGAAGCATATTTGATCCTGGGGTGGGTGGAGGTCAGCTTAGAAAGCCTTTCTTGACAAGAGGACTCATTTCTCGTTCAGCAGGCAGCATGTAAAAGCTGCATGGATTGTATTCCTCCAATTCCATGTTTATGCTATCTTAGGATGTCGCAGGAGAGAAGAGTATTGACGTGTTTGTTCTGCTGTCCTGGTCCTGATTAGGACCTTGCTAAATCACAGTGGAGACCCACCTGGCTCAGACAAACAGAGGGGGAGTGGCCAATCTTAGTCACTGGGGTGCCTTATTCATGGCAGCTTTTATTTTGAGTTTCCGAGGAGCTACCATAGCAGTGAGCTTTTTTGAGCGGGGTGAGGACATCATTACCAGCCCCCACTTAAAATTTGGCTCTTGTGCACCAGAACATTTGACCAAGCTTTTCTCTGGAAGAAAACGAATACTTTGGGTAATTTAGTTAATCCCCGTCTGCATTTTACATCAGCCATACTCTTCCCTGGCTGACCTGTTTTGTAAAATGCATGCTTTTATGGGCCCTTTTGACCTCCCCATCTTTGAAACGACTTCCAGGAAGCAGACTGCAATTTCTCAAAGGATTTGGATGCCAACCTGTCTGCTAAAAGAACAGGAAAAGGGAGGGGTGGGATATGAAATGCTGGGAACATAGGCAGCAGAATCCGTTCATGGGTGTTGGGTAACCGGGGGATATCATGAGTTTTGTTTCTCTCCGACAGTTGCTAGGAAGACTTCCACTGCTTTTTTGCAGAGTTTTTGCACTGCAGTTTGAGCCGTAGGGCATCTTTGCTAGAGGTGGGTGGGCTGGAATTTTGTTTATCTGTACCTGTAAAGTTTGCCCAGGAAGCCTGAAAGATACAGCAATCTGGGCGCCTTCAATCAAAATACTGTCTTTTGAGCTTCTTCTCCTTTATTTCCTTTTTAAAATAACCTTTTAAATCAGTGCAAAATAATTTGAAAAAGCAAAGCAAGAACAAACATGAGGGAGAGAGGATGCTGGACGGGGACTCGGGATCTGGGTTCTAATCCCCACCCAGCCATGAAACTCACAGGGCAACTTCAGGCCAGTCACGGACCCTCAGCCAAGCCTACCTCACAGGGTTGTTGTTCCGAGACTAAAATGGAGAGAAGGTGAACCTTGGAAGCCACCTTGGGTTCCTTGCAAGAAGAAAAAAGACAGGCTATATGTGAGATGTATATATGAGATTCTTAATTGTTGTTATTAATCTATTTATTCCTGGTATTTCTATACTGTCCAATAATCAAAGGTTTCTGTGACTTTCAGGAAAATGAAAACCCTAAAATGCCAACCTAATAATAAACTGTGCTGTTAAACTTTTAGGAGCCTCAAATAAAATAAAAGTGCAATGAAAATCAGCAACAGTTTAAAAATCTAAAAGCATGACAAAATCCAAAGGAGAATTAAGGATTTTTTTAAAAGCCTGGGGGGAAAAAGTACCAAAAATTGTGCAATGAATGAAATCCCAGATAAGCTTCTCTGGAGCTAAACTTGCCGCTATCTGGTTGCCTCTGTCATTGCAATAGCAATCAAACCCCCAAACGTAACTCTGGTAAAGAACGATTTAAAGAAATGAATGGCTATGAAATGGGGGAGGTCTTTGGGGCTGTGTGGGCACATTTGTTGAAATACCCTGGAGGGTTGTTCTTGTTTGCTTTGCTTCTGGAGCTAATAGTAAAGAGGGCCAAGTCTCTTGCAGTCACAGCAGTGGGGAAAAGGGGTTGGAAGACTCCTCCCCGCCCCGCCAGCAAGTTGAGCCTCAGGCCTGCTTGTCTACAATTTCGTCATTCCTGGTGCTGGGAACACAGCGGTTTTAGGTGTCCAGGGTTCCCCCTTTCATCTTCCCGACAACTTGCAGATTTAGCTCTCTGTAAATACTTTACTGTCCTCCTTTGGTTACTAAGAGTATCTTCTTCTTACTCTTCTCCTCCTCCTCCCTGCACTTCATCTCATGATACCAGGATGAGATGTAACAAGTAATAAGAGATGTAATATTTGGTAGAAACAGCAGGTCAGTATCAAATGCTGTGAAAAGGGTGGAAAGATATAAAGTGGAACACTCAGTGGAAAAGGCTTTGTAAACTGGTTTTTAAATGTCTGAGCCAATAAATAGTGGTTCTCCCACCACTAGGAAGAACACGGTGTTGTTGTTGATTGTCCCTTTTTGCCCTGGTCCCTCCATATCTGAGATTAACTTTTTGATTCTATTAGAGAAGGCGATTTCATCAGCATTAAGGGTGGGCTGAAAGTTGATCAGGATCTACAGATGATTTATTCATTTTAATCAGTGTATTTATTTCTGTACCACTCAATGGCCAAACTTCACAACAATTTACAAAATGCACTAAAATACAGCATAAAATACAATCCTAAAAACTTCCTAAAATCACACTGCAGAAATTTAAAACTTAAATAGAACAAGGGAATACAACAAGCCCTGTTTAAACAGCTGGCATACCTACTCCCAGGTGCTGTTTGGAGCTCTTAAATGCCTTGGGATCAAAAGCCACTGTAACCTGGTGCAGAAAGGATAACGGGGTTAGTCCCAGGTGGGCCTTCATGAGGAGCTTGTTCCATGATTTGAGAAAGATTGATGAGGGTTTCTGCTCACAATTTTTAATGGTGGCAAGAACCATCTGACCACCTACACGCGCGCACACCCGCCCCCCCCATCCTGTGGCCAATGGAGGCTGTCTGGCCAGCCATAGGAAAAGACAGTGGGGGATTTTGCTTTGGGTGGGGGTGCCTTTCGCCCTCTCAGCGATCTTTCTGCACTGGCTGCAGGCCCAAATTTGGAATAGCATCTTCAGGACAGACACTGGGGGGCAGTTGGGGTTTAATTCTTGTCCTGTGTCTTTTGCATGGGGCTTATGTAGGGGCACTTCCAATTTGATGGACAACAAAACAGACCTGGCAAGCCGGAGGTCTTCCCACCCCCAGACAGGGTGCACCTTAATCCTCCTGCTCTTTCTCAGGGCCACACCACTTCTCATGCTCAGGGGACAGGAAAACGCAAACAGGGAGTGACCGGGTTCTGTTGGTAAAGCAAATTGCAGGTCCTGCAGTGCAGGCATTTCTTACCCAGAAGCGTGGCCCAGTGGAACTTAGGCCTAGGTAGGCGTGCACAGGATTCCTTGAGCGAAAACAAGCATAGGTAAAAAGCTGGGGATCACCCCGTGAAGTTGGTCGAGGTCCAACATAGATGGGTTGATTTCTTGCATTTCTGCACCACCCAACTGGCAACTGTTATTTGCTAAACTGTTTTGTCCATAGTTGAAATAACCAGATACAACAACACATTAAACATAATACTTAACATTTATATATTGCAGTGTAAAACTAAACCGTGCCTTATTCAGGAGCACCCAGGGATGACCTCAGACGATCTTAATGTCTGGGCAGGTATACATGGAAGGAGCTGATCCTTCAGGTAACCTGTGTAGTGATCACTGGCCATTAGGTTGCGTACCTCTTTTCTGGACAGTGTGTTCCCTCCTCTTCTTCTTAGGTTGTGAACTGAGGTTCCTAAGATACCTTGCAGCATTAATAAACTGTTGTTCTGCTCCAGCAGAAATGTCAGGGACTTTTAACACTGAGAAGTTTGCTGATTTTGGGAAGCCACGATGGCTGCCTGATGCCCCCAGGAAAGAAGCAGCCGACCTCTGAATTCCAAGCTCAGGAGCCGAGAGAGGAAAGACACCCTTGGCCAGGCCTGCTTGGGAGCTCCCAGAGTTAACCTGGGGGCTACTGGCCATGGTGGACCTTGGCCTGGCCCTGCATGGCGTGGTCAGGAATCTGTGGAAGGTCCACGATCCGGCAGGGGGCCACCAACAAGATGGCCCTGGACTGCTTCTTCTCTTCACTTTTGCAAGCAGGTTATTCACCTGCTCCTGACTTTGGCCCGACGGGGATTTCGGTGCGAAGGAAAGATGAGCAGCCTTGCTCCTGGACAATCTGCTGTTCAGCACACAGGTGGTAGCAGCAGTGAAAAAGAAGATGCGGAGCCATATTATATTCCACCTTTTTCTTGCCAGAAATCTCAGGTGGCTGGCACAGTTTTCCTCTACTCCATTTTTTTATCCTAACAACAACCCTGCAAGGTAGCTTTGGTGAGAGTGAGTGGGTGAAGGTGCCTTGCTTATGGGCTCTCCAAAGCTTGGAGCTGGCAGTAGGTTTTCCCAATCCCCTATGCTAGGTAACCCCCTGAGCAAACCAAACCAAACTGGAAAACATATACCATCCTAGAACAATGAACTGGTCAGAAAAACTCACCAGTAAAAAAATGATTTTGTAAAAAAATAATCTTCAAAAAGATCAATGTGAGTGATTTTATCAATACAAGCTTCAGGTATTTCACCACAAACAGTAGGAAAGAGTACAGACAGAATGTGCCATGATTCTTCGAAAACCAGATATAAGCAAGACTCAGCCTTCGGTCTTCTAAACACAATGTCTGAATGGTCTAAAACTAGAAGAGGGCTTGTGCTTCAGTGTGGAAAAGGCAAGGAACTGTGACCTTTATGATCATGTACAAAGTTTACTCTGACTGGAGCCACACAGAAACCTGCAAACTGTGCTGACACTATTTTTAGTCTGGTAAGGAGCATGAATCTAGTCTGAATTGCTGGTGATAGTGCAGGGTTTATAGTAGTCAACTGATGGGAGAGGTTTAGATTGTAAAAAACAATCTGAATGGTTTTTGTATGTGGTATTCTTATTTTTGACCATTTTTACATTCCAGACCACTGCAGAAGACATTAGATCAAATCACATTTAATATTTTTTATGTTTCAATTGAAGGAACAACCTCATAATCTGCCTGTAATCTCATCTGTTTTTATGGCAGAAGCTTGTATAGATAAAATCACTCTATCAGATATTTCGGAAATGTTCCATTTTCACCAATTAGTTTATCCCAGTTTGTTCAGGCCCTCAGACCCTGGAAGAGCATCTTAGACATTTACCACATTTCCCTACAAGGTCTGGTGTGGAAATAGGTTGTGTAAACAGTTGTGCCCTGATGAGCAAGAAAGGGGGTGCTTCTGTGGATTAGGAGAGGGCTGGGCACCCTTTCCTGGTGGTGGTTGAGCTTCTGAGTTTATCTCTTGGGAATTCCAGAGAACAGCGTGATCTGGCTTTTGCTCCTTCCCTCCCTCTCCTTTGCCTGGCAACACACATTCCAGCTCTCTAGGGTTTAAATTCCTCCCACTCACTCTAAATGCAAGTTTCTGGAGCGGTGTGGGGTGGGGAGAGGAAAAGACTTCATTTACTTCCTTCCCGCATGCCAGCCACTGCTTCAGGTGTAGCCCTCCTTGCAGCAAGCTCCGCACCTCTCTACATGGGGAGAGTCCCGGCTTTCTCTTCAGGCTAAGCCATCGCAACTTCGGTGCTTACCAGAGCCTTCCTCCTCCTTTTCAGATTAAGATGCTTACAGATCGGAAACACGAGTTGGAGCGTCGCTTGAGTGCCATGATGGAGGAGAACAGTCTCCTCCAAGGGACGGTGGAGGAGCTTCAAGATCGAGTGTTAATTCTGGAGCGGCAAAGCCATGAGAAGGACTTGCAGGTAAGGGGGGGGGGCACCACACATGCCCAATGGGAGGGGAGAGGAAAACGGAGGTCGGTCTCAGAGGGCTGGAAAGCCTGGCTCAGGACTGCCAAATCGCCATTTCAGGAACCGGAGGGCAGCAGAGCAGGACCGAGCTTCTGCGGAGTGGGGCTTCTGTTGAGCATCCTCCGAGGCTAAAATCCTGGGCCCGCTTACCGGGGAGTAAGCCCCATTGAACTCAGTGCGACTTACTTTTAAGTAGGGATGTCTAGGAATGTGCTGCAAGACCTCATCACATATTTCTGTCATTATAAAAAGGAAAGACCCCTAAAATGAAACACTGATATTCTTGTGACTACGATGACTTTGTGGAAGAAAAATAGATCCTAGGAAAGCTGGGATGGAGCGGGACTACGCTGTCGTGTAGCAAGCCTGAATTTGCAGCTGTGTCCTGTGTGAAGGAGGTCTTATGAAATCTGCTTCAGAATGCTGATCCTATAAAGTGCTGGCTGGGCTAGATCAGGCCAAGGAGTCCAGTCCCTGCTCTGATGAGTTCATGGAGGGCCATTGATGCTCCCTGAAATACCTCTTGGCAACCCCTGCAAACCTTCACCCGTCTTGTTTGTGTGTAACCTTAGGGTGTCTGAGCAGCAACCCTGCTAGTTCTGTCTCTTACCTGTGGTTCTGACTCATGGAAAATGGAAGGCGTCATTTATCAAACCTCGGTTCTCAAGCCCATTGATAGGTCACTGCTGTAGCTTATAGGGAAACTTGGCATGTGCTCAAGCTTTTCCACACAGGCTGTTAATCCACTGTGAATCCCCTGTATCTGCTTTTGGTTTTGTCACAGAATTGAACTCCGGGCAAGGAGTTTTGTTTCCTGCATTTCTAGAGCATGGCCTCTAGGTGGCACTGCATTACAATGGACTAGTGCAAATGCACAAATTTTAAAAAGTGTTTTCTTTCCATTTTACAATTAAATGCTGTGTTTTCTCTGCTCTTAAAAAAAAATCCATGCTTGTGGGAATTAATCTTTAGATATGGAAGTGAAACTGGAAGAACATACCTTCATCTAAAGGAGCTGTAAGCAACCATGAACAGAGAATAAACAGCGTTCTTGTGTAGCAAAGCCTTAGATGACTGGAACTCATAGAAGAAAACTAACCTTAAAAGCCACCACTGTCTTTTGCAGATGGAGATGGTGTTCTGGGGTAACCCTCTGGAGCTGGAACTCCAAATATTTCTTGGGCTCCCTCTCCTCTCCTCTCTTTACATCTCTTTTTACAGATAAAGGTTTCTTTAGGAGACAGGGTCCTTCAAAGACACACACAGAGAAACAGAGAGCGAGAGAGAATCTTTAGGTTATATATAAAAATTAGCATATGCAAATATGTGCATTTTGTTTTTTCCTATGAGCCTGAACCCTCAAACTTTTCTGTCCCTAGCACTGTCCCTGCTCCAGCATCTGAAATTTGGTGGACAGTGAACAAAGATTGGTCCTGGCACCCCACCTGTGGAATAGTTTTCCCAGGGAGTTTTGCTCAGCGCTGGTTGCAGTTTTCTTTTCACTTGGGCAGGCCTGTATGTGGCATGAGCTGGCCTTCAATATTGGCGTTTTCTGATCTGCCACTGAACTTTTCCTGCAGTCTCAATTTATCTTCTGCTTGCAGTTTGTCTTGTGTCTTGCTTGGGGATGGAGCCTATGTGTGGGTGGGCGAGCTTTAATTATCACCTTGCCCCCACACTGATAGCTTCATTAAAGGGCTGCCTAGGAATCCCTTAAATTAAATGATAACAACATCAAATGGGATGCAGGCCCCAGAGGTAAGAGTTTCCAGCTGGATCCAAGATTTCGGTTGACCAGATCTTAGCGAATGAACAATAACTCTGAGTATACTTCTGTGCACAGATGAAAGCATTCTCTTATGTGGACTGCTTTCCATTCCGTGCCTGGCAGCACATCCCACGACTTCCTTGGAAACTGATAAAAGCAGCGGGTTGGTTTTCTGCTCTGTTTTGCTGTGCTTCTTTTTCATTCACTTTACCAAATTTTTCTGCTGACACTGCCTTACCCAGCCCCACACCCCCAGCCATGCAGTTTCCTGTAAATACCTGGTAATCTTGAACTTGAAAACCTTGCAGTCAGCAGTGTGGAGACTGGATTGGGTACCTCAGTGGTTAACATGTAGTTGCAATGGCATTTTAAGATGTTTTATTATCATTTGATTTAAATGGTATTTCGATTGTATTTATCAACTGTTGTTCACCACCCAGGGAGCTTTGGCTAGTGGGCCACACAGAGAATGGATGGGTGGATGTATATCGGGCCCCTCTGTAAACTTGTTCTGCTTTTATTTAATGTGATGCCCAAGAAGGTAGAAAATTGCTGCTTTGGTGAAGATTCTAAGTAGGTAAAAATTCAGCGGTAGATGGAATACCCACTGGTGAATCACCACAAGGAAGGCACTGATTCGCATCAACTCTGCATATGCTATGTCTATATGCAAATTTAGAAATAATCATTTTAATTCATATTGAAATATGGTGCATCTCACCCTAATGTGGAGGATGGGTGTGAGATGCCCAGCCGGCCTTGTTCCGTCTGGTGCCCAGATGCTGTGGGAAGTCAGCTCTTCCTTCTCGTGGGCCTTATCTTTGACCTGGACGTGGACTGGACAAGTCTTTAAATAGGGAATGTGTCCAGACTGGAGGAGGGTCCTCAAATGGAGAACTGTGAAAGGCACACTGCACTGAGCATGTCGTTTGCAACCAGAAATTCCAGTTTCCACCCGAGGCTCTCAAGTTAAAGCAGGGTGCAGGAACGCTTCCCACTGAGGGCCAAATTCCGTTGCGGAGAGGCTTTGGGGGCCTGCGCTCCAACGGTGCGTGAGGAGAAGGGGGTCAAATGCCTCATACATAAAAGTTACAGGATATGGCAGCTAAAAGCTCTCACTGCTAATAGCCAAGACTTGAGAGAGCATTTCAGTCTTATAGAAAAGGGAACGTCTACACAGTAGGTGGGAAACCACCAAGCTATTGGTGGCTGGGGACGGGTGTGGACCTCTGGAGGGCCCCCAAGGGCCTAATTTGGCTCCTGGCTTGGGGGCCCCATCCCTGTGGCTGGGAAAGATTTTGAGGAATTGCTCCAACCAGCCATTCTGGAGTGGATGCTCTGCCAGGCCACTAGGCCTTCCTGGATGGGAAGGGTTGGAAAGGGCCTGGAATGCAATGGGACGACTGCATTTCCCTGGCTGGCATGGATTTCCCGCATCCTTTAGCTCTGGCTCCCTGGGCCAGCGCCGGCTGCCTGCTTCCCGACTCCTGAGTCATGGGCAGACGTTCACCCAGTTCTGAAACGTGTCTGGTCTCCTCGATGGACGGGTATTGGAAGGGTACCGCCTGCATACCAGGAGATGTAACGACAAAGGAGAGGGTGCCTTGGGGCATGTGCAGAGGGCCTTCCTCGCAACACAGTGTAAGCACAGGGAAACCTTCACTCCCCTGTGGAATCTCTGGAATATTGTCAGTATTACAGCTGGGTGATCTGAAGCCCTGGACTTTCGTGCCCCGCTCCCATCGTGCCAGGTGACCCTCTCGGCTTTGAAATGTGCTCAGTCGGCCTGCGGCTGGACTTGGGGACCCTCCTGGTCCTTCCACTGAGCGGGATGGCGGCTGTTTTGCCCCCAGACCCTGTCCCAGGGCCCCTCTGGGCACGGATCCCAGTCGGATGGGCCTCGGCCTCCGCCCTCGAGGCCCTTGGCTAACGTTCCCTCTCCCGGTCCTTTCCCCCAGCTGCACCAGAGCCAGCTGGAGCTGCAGGAGGTCCGACTGTCTTACCGGCAGCTGCAGCTCAAGGTGGAGGAGCTCAGTGAGGAGCGCAGCTTGCAGCACTTCAGCTCGACCAGCGCCTCCCTGCTGTCGGAGATCGAGCAGAGCATGGAGGCCGAGGAGCTGGAGCAAGAGAGAGAGCAGGTACCGGACCTTTTGGCCCTGGGAGGCCCGGGTGCAGTCCAGGTGTGTCTGCATGTAACTGGCATTCCGTGCACTTCCTGGTCCCACGAGCCACACGTGGGCTGCAGGCCGTGGGCATCCTGGCTGTGGGTTCAAGGCCTGGCACAGCAGAGCAGGTGCCACTGCCAAGAGCAAGACAAGCCCAGCCCCCTCACCCCAGCTCTGCCCCTTGGGAATGTCCGGCCGTGCCTCTTGCTGGCATCTCTTGCCTTGGGAGTCTTCGCAGCCCGTGCGGCTTCTTATCGCTGCACAACTTGGCCTCTGCAGGCAGCCGGTTCTTAAATCAGCATCGCGTGGCCAAGAACGTCTGCACGCCCCTTGTGACCCCTCTTTTCCACCCAGGCTGGGTTTGGTGAAAACAAGAGAAAGGTGTATTAGGGGTTCAGGCAAAGAGTACAGAAGGGGAAAAGGGGGTGAATTTCAGAGCACGAAGCTCTAAAAGTCTCCAAGTGGCAGTTCAGAGGCAAATGGCAAAGAAAAGAGAAAGACACGGTCTAGCCATTCACAGCCTCCTGGTTCTTGGCAATCCGGTGGTCTCCAAGGTGCAGTTCCCCTGGGGCCAGCGTAGACCCCCCCCCTTTCTGGGAGACTCACACCCCGGGTTCTGGGCCACAGAAAGACCCCCACACAGTTCCTTTCTCAGTGGGGTCAATTTCTTTAAGTCCCCCCTGCACGGGTGAAAATCCCACCCCTCTTTTAGTCGGGCTGATCCCAAAGCATTGTCAGCCCAGAGACGGGTTTTCCACGATTCCTCGCTCTGTGGTACGTGGGCGATTTATCACTCTGCAGGCTTGCTGAGAGGAGGTGCTCGGCCTTGAGATGACCTCGGCCAGCGTCCTGCATGCGGCAGCTCACATCTCTTCTGTTTTAGCAGAGAGCGGCAGCTGACCGTAAAATGAAGGCTGCTTCCTCACAGACCTGAGCAAGACGACGTCAGGGTGGCTCAGCCTGCGCCCTCGGCCACTGCAGCCCAGCCCTGGCCGCATCCCCCTGGGCTTCTTGGCAACCCCGGTTATCCTTTCCCTGGGGCGGGCGGGGAAAGGGGCCACAGCCTGCCCCTGAGCAGCAGCAGAAGAGAGCAGTTTCAAAGAAATCGCAGCCCCTTTGTGAGGGGTCGGCTGTGGGTTCCGAGGCAGGAGCATTGTCTCCCCTACTTCTGGAAGTTGTGCACCCCGGCTCTATAAAAACAGTTTCTCAGGCAATTTAACATGCAACTGTATATGTAATATCAATATCGGCTAAGGAAGTGCAGGCAGTAAAATTCAAGCACAAATAATAATGAAAATATTAAAGCAGGTTCATTTATAACATCAAAATCATCTTTGACACATCCTATTTGGCACTGTGAATGCGAGGGACAGAGAGTTTTGTAGGCTTCACCCACATGCTTCCTGGTAATTCTTTGACGCCATGAGGACTAGAAACTTACCTTTTTAAACAGAGAGAGGGGGAAAAATCAAGAAACCAAACTACATACTGATTTGGCTATTGGTAAAAGAAAAGTCCGCAGCATAAGGGCAAACGGCATGATGGATGTTTGGCGCTGTGCATGCTGCCATGTTTGAAATCTGCCGTGTGCCCCACCCTAGCAATATGTCTGCAGCACAGCCTTTTCCGCTCTTGTCACAGTTGAGACTCCAGCTCTGGGAGGCGTACTGCCAGGTCCGATACTTGTGCACACACCTCCGAGGGAACGACAGCGCAGATTCGGCTGTCTCCACCGACTCTTCCATGGACGAATCTTCAGAAACCTCATCGGCCAAAGATGTGCCGGCTGGTAGCCTGCGGGCCGCCCTCAGCGAGCTGAAGAGGCTGATACAAAGTGTTATCGAGGGCACGGACTCCCCTGTAAGTCGAGCCCTGGCGTGAGGTTTGTGGGACCCCTGCTTTCTCGGCTCGAGTGGGCAAGCTTCGGCCCCCTTCTTGACCCCCTGCACTGTACCTGTATCGCCCCTTTCCTGCACCCCACTCACAGCAGGGGTGGGCAACACTCATGCTCGGGGGCCCTCCTGGGATGCTAGTCTGGCCCTCCAGGGCTCCCCGCCTGGCCCTGCGCCCTCCTGCTGACGCCACGAGCCCTTCCCTTTAACCAGCGAGGGTTTGGCATTTTGCTGGCTTTTGTGCATTTTTCCCTCTCTCCAAAGCCATACCTGTTTTTTGGAAGAGATCCTGGCTTTTGTGGCCACACCCCTCTCACCTTAGACCCCACCCACTTCCAGAAGGCAGCCCCAGCGGGCTTCAAAGTGGAATTTGCCCTCACCCACGGGAACTGCCCCGGCCACGCTTTAGAAACGGTAGGACAGGATTCCCCCACTCAACAGAAGGGGACTGACGCTTTCTTCGTGGCTCACCAGAGCTCACGGAGGAGTGATGACGATGCCTTAGAAGAGCAGATCAAGCAGACGAGTGAGGATTCGAGAGCCCTGAGGGAGCTGATGGAAGGCGAGCGGGGGAAACTGAGGCAGAGCCTGGAAGAGCTGCAACAACTTCACAGCCAGGTAAGCGGCAGCTCTGACTGCGGTGCGAGGGCAAGATGCTTCCGGGGGGCCCCTTCCTGAGCACGCTGGGGCAACTTGGCTTGCCCTCAGAAAGAGGCCTGTTAGCACAGGCACGATCGAGTAGTTATGCTTGGTGCAGAGAAAGCGGATTTGGGAACATTTTTCTCCATGCCTCACGCCTGGAATCTCGCAAGAGTCCCAGGGCAAGGACCCTCCTGTGTTCTCCCACCACTTCTCCTGCCTGGTTCCTTCCTGCAGAAAATCCGCCAAGAAGAAGGGGGAGAGGCATGCTGATGCGATGCTTTCTGCTCGGAGCACCTCCTTGTAAAGCAGGCCGGGCTCTTCCTGCTTAGCTGAGCTTTTGTGGAAAGGAAAAGGGTAACAGCAGGGGTAGGAGAACACGGGAGGGCGAAAGGTTACAAAGTGGAAGGCTGCATGCTAAGTCTCTCGAAGAACGGCCATGCTGGGTCGGACCAAAGGTCCGTCCAGTCCAGCACTCCATGCACATGGTGGCAAACCGGCTGCCCACAGGATCCCCCCAGCAGGGTGGGGGCCAGACCTCCCCCTGCCCAAGCGCCTCAGCAACTGGTGTCTGCAGGCAGGCCTCCTCTGGTGAAGGCGGTAGTCCACGGCCTCTGACAGCCTCCTCCCTCTGGAATCGTCCCACCCCTTTCTCAAGCCATGCAGATTGGTGGCCCTCCCCACTTCCCGTGGCAGCAAATGCCATAGCTTGACTTCTCCGGGAGTGAGGATGTGCTTCCGTTGAGCTGCCTTAAACCTCCCACCAGTCAGCTTGGGTGGGAATGCTATGGGAGGGGGAGAAAAAGTCTCCCTCTCCACTTTCTCCACACTGCACATTATTGTAAACGCCTCTCTGACGTCTTCCTGCGCTTCCCCTTTTCCTAAGCTGAACGGTCCCGGTTGTCATAGCCGCTGTGCATAGGGGTGCAGCTTCGAAATACTGGAACCCAAAGTGGTCCCCCCACAGAACTGAGTGGAGGGAGATTCAGGGCAGAGGGAAGGAATTCCACATCACCGAGTTAAGCTGTGGAATTCTCTGCCACATGATGCAGCAACAGCCATCAATCTGAAGGGCTTTGCCAAGGCGGTGCCAGGGCTGTGGCACCAGCCCTGCCTCCTTGTGGTGTGTTCGTAAACGGGTGCCCTTGTTGTCCCACAGACCACAGTGGAAAGACTTTTATCCTGCATTGGTCTGGCATGAAATACAGAACTTGTATTTATGTTTGTGAGCATATTTCCAGATGTCTTCCATTTTTAACCATCCTGTGTTTTCCGGCTGCTAGCAGAAAAAAAAACTGTTAAGGAGAAAAAGACATGATATGTTTTTGATTCATATTGCCATAAATTTTCTGTCTGGAAGCACTCAAAGAAACATAGCTCAGGAAGGTCCCTGTGCACGAATCTGGGAATGATTACAAGTGTGTTTCATGGATGCAAATGGATTAAAAGGACTCAGCTACCTAACACTTGTGCACGTGTGTGTGTGTGTGTGTGTGTGTGTGGATGGGCACATTCGGAATTTTGAAGGAATGCTGTGGGCGCTCTCACAGAATGGGGGCTTGGCCATTCGTGAAATGGCTGCCACTTTGGGGCGGCCAATCACAGAACAGTTCTTTGGCTGGGAATTAAAAAAAACAGGAGATTCTCAAAGCACAATTGCGGATGCTTTCAACAAGAAAAAGGTAGACGACAACAGAGGAAGACCGAGAAAAGGACACCCAGAAGAAGTAGAAGGAAGGCCAGGCTGCAATGGGATCGGTAGCATGGAATTGCAGGGATGGGCATCAGAAAGGCTAAAGCTGAGAAGGAGCTGAGGGGCGCTAAAAGCCACGGAAAGTGGGATATGTGCAAAGTAAAGGATAGAAGAAAGAAATGGTGGTTACCAAAGAGGATGGTAAAACAACAGATGACAAAGAAACGGTGGAAGTGCTGAACTTTGGCTCAGTCTTCTCCAAAAAGGGTCTGTTACCTCCCTGACAAAGGTGACGTGTAAACTGAAGTGGCAAAATTGCAGCTTGAGATTCATAGCAAGTGGTTCAGGAACATCTCATGACCTTGAAAGAGTTCGGATCTCCAGAGCCCGATGGACTGCACGGCAGGGTAATGAGGAATGGGCTGTAACTGAGAAATCGTGGCAGATGGGTGAGGTGCCACATGACTGGACGGGGGCTGAGGGCGTCCCTGTCTCCCAAATGGAAACAAGGAGGACCCTCACTGGGGACTGCAGACCAGTCGGCCTGACATCAGTCCTTGGGGAGAGGTAACGTGTGGGGTAGTGAAGCGTTTGGTGTTTTCAACAGTTTTATTAGAGGTTTGGAGGAGGAGGTGCAAGGAATGCTGATGAGAATCACAGAAGACACAGAATTGGGTGGGATAAGCGAATACCTGGAAGACAGGAACAAAACTCAGTGATTTTCATAGGTTGGAGCACTGGGCTGAGAGCAACAGAATAAAATTTAGTAGGAATGGCACAGAAGCTAGGAAAAAGGAAAGTGGTGCGTACTTTCAAGATGGGGGAGTCCTTGGCTCAACGATACTGCAGGTGCGAAGGATCTTGGAATTGTTGTAGATCACAAGCTGAATATGAACCAACAATGTGATGCGGCTGCAAAAAAGACAAAGGCTATTTTGGGCTGCATTGGGAGAGGTATCACTTCCAAATCGTGTGAAGTACTAGTTCCCTTCTACCCAGCACTGATTAGGCCTCATCTGGAGTCCCGAGTCCAGCTCAGGGCACCACAGTCCACTCCCAGCTAGTGAGAGTGAAAGAAAGTCAAACTGGAGAGAATAAAATAAAAGTAGCTTGTCCCAGAACCCGGATACAAAGAGGAGCCGGAGGGCCTGAGCTGCTGGGCAAAAGACCTTGTGTTGGGAACTAGACCAAGATGGTGCTGGAGGACAGTGTGCTGGATTGCCACACGGTGCAAATTCCCAGTGCAGTGTTCTTTAAAAGAACTCTGAAGGAGACAGATAGAGAGTAAAAGTAGGGAGAGAGGTGAGCACCAGGAGAGGTGTTATTGGGCAGCTCGGCATCCATGGGCACCCCTTTAGAGACCTAAGCTTAAATCACGCCCTTTGAAAAGAGCAGTCATGAAGACACCTTTTATAGGCTTCTGCTCTCTGAGACATTTAAGAATGACAGTTTTTAGAGGTTTATTCCTGCAGTCATGAGGACTGGCAACGTATTTCCAAAAACCTGAAACTTAACACTTCCAGCGTTTCCGCCTCCGAGCCCCCTGTGCTTATGACGTGGTGGCTGCAAGCTTTTCTTGCGTTGACCTCAGAGAAGCCATGGTGCTAAATCAGTAATGCCATGCACGGATTTGTTTTTCTTCTGTTTCTTACCAGGTGACGCTGCTGAGTGTAGAGATGACTTCACTGAAAGAGGAAAGAGACAGACTCCGGGGATCGGTTGACGATAAGGAAATGAACGAACAAATCATGAAGGCTATCAGGGATCGGGACGATGCAATTGCCAAGTAAGCAGCATCGTGCTCAAAGGCCAGGGGCAGGTCTTGGGCAGGCTCTGTGCCGGCACGTTCCTTTGCGCTTGTGGGATCCCAACATTCAGCTATGAGCAGAATGCCGGGTGAGGTGGACCTTTGGTCCAATCTTCTTGTGTTGTGCGACTGCTGCAGCACTCAGGCATGGCTTCCCTTGACTTGTTCCATCCCTCTATCCCAAATGCTTTAGTGGGACTGAAATCCTGGCACGTCAAGTGGCTATTTGTTTAAATCACTCTTGCCCGTCACGTCTATGGCCTGGCAGAACAACCCAAGGACAACCCATGGACAACCCACAGTTCTGGGATCACATGTAACAGCAATTCCTGATTCAGACAACCCATGGTTCATGGCCCAGTGAAAAACCATAAGCTCTCTTTCTGGGTTGTCGGTAGTTAGCGTATTATGGTTTGTTAGCATGCTCACACCTGCATGCTACAGTGGTGAAGCATTCGACAGCTCTTCCCTCACTAGGTGCAATTGCCACTTAGATTTGTCCCCTGCAAGGCAATTACGCTGAGGAGGGAGGGGAAAATCCTTCCACTGGCAGCTTCGGACAAAGATCCAGGGCCCCGGGAAGTGGATTTAGGCCCAGGGCCTGATGGGAACGGGTGGAGCAAGGGCTCTGCTTGTAGCACCATGCAGCTGTGTGCTCTTGACCTTCCTGAGGATATTTTGAAGCATCAGGGCTCAAAAGGCACTTTTCTGGCCAGCCCTGGAAAAAGGGGGCATTCTTGTACTGCCACCTGCTGGCCAAAGGAGGGAACTCTTCCAGCAACTGAGCTTTTGGACGCAGAAGGCGGCACCTGATATTTAAGCAAGTGTGTGGGTTATGGGCTCTCCTGTATCCATGGAAACCAGCTACCTTTCTGGAAACATATGAGTTGCATTCTTAATATTCATTCAGTGGTGGGGATCGCTTTATTTAAATTAGCTTTGTGATGCAGGACTGTCTGGAGGACTTGATTCTGACTCTCTTCCTCCAGAGAGGCAGGCATGATTTTTCCGGGGAGCCTTCCCTGCAGATGTGTTAGACTGTATGTCTCATCATCCCCAGTTAGAAGGCCAGGAATGTCTGGAGGGCACCAGATTGGAGGAGACTGTTTTATAGAGCCCCCTTCACTCATGTGTAGAAATGAACAAATACGTAGTTATAAGGAACTTCCAGGTGATGGTGGACTCCGACTCCCATAGTCCATATTGCATTGGCCATGGGAGTTGGAGCCAGGCAACATTTAGAGAATACAAGGTTCCTTGCCGTTGCTTTTGTGCAGAGGTGTGTGGCTCAGACCTTGGCTGAGTTCTCACTGAGTATCATTTTCAGAACACGCACAGCAGGCTGGGGATGATGGGAGGTATAGTCCAACAGATCTGGAGGGTGCCAGGTTGGGAACATCAACCTAAGACATTTTGTCCTGGCCTCCTCCGCGCATACCTTCCGCCCTTCAAGGTGACTAGTTGCTAATAATCCTGCAGACCAAGGGGGAGATCAAACACGCTAATTGCATTGCCCTTCACTGAGTATGGATGCAAAATGCTTTCACTGGACAGTGAAGAAAGCAGACAGGAAGAAAATGGAAACATGAATACCCCGAACTGACAGAAAGGTGAACAAGACAGAATTTGCCTGGAGGAAAAAATGACAAAATTGAGGCTGTCCTACGTTGGACACGTTGTGAGAAGGCAGGACTCCCTGGAGATGAGAACCTGCTAGAGAAAATCAAAGGCAGAAGAAGAGAAAGACCGGCTGGGGGATGATGGGTGGGTGGATCGATCGATTGCTTGAAAGAAGCCACAGCTTTGCGCTTAGAAGGGCTGAGCAGGGCTGTGAAGGGCAGCTTGCTTTGCCGAGCTTCCATTCATAGGGAAAGCCAGGGACAACTTGGTCGCATGTAACAACAAACCACACAAAACAATACACAGGGCCGAATCTTGCACGCATTTCCTGGAAATGGGTATTAGATACAATGAATGCTTGACTCGCTTATGATCCTGGGAGAGGAAGCAGAAAATTACGCCGTACTTGTTCTGTCCATCGAGTACAGCCTGTTGCTCTTTCCTCTCAGAACTCAGGGCTGCAGGCTCTAAAACGTTACATTTGTTTCTGACCTACATTTTTAAAATTGCTCACTGCCTTGCGAGCCATGTCGCACAGAAAGAATGAACAGGAATAAAATAGAAGTCTTGCTCGGTGGGACTGAAAATTAGTCAGGTGTCGGAACTCGTTTCCCCTTTTGTGGGTACTTAGTTCTTGTGCAAGTTGGGTGATTAGTCCGGACTGATTGATCAGAATACCTGGGATGGAACAGAGCAATCCAACAGGGGTTTTTGGATTCTCAGACCCGGACTAGAGACAATGCCAGACCTTGGCTCTGGGGATTGTTCCCGCTGGTGCAGGAAGAAGCAAACTGGCTGTTGCTTTGAGGCCGGAGGAGCAGTTTGGAGGCAAGGGCAGGAAAAGGAGGGGAGCAGGGAGACCGGAACTGCCAGGATAGGAGGCATCCTGGCGATGCTTCGTCCCCCTTCCCCTCCTGCACCAAATCGCCTCAGCTTGGATGGCCAAAATCGGCCGACTGGCCACATCACAGAGCAGAAGGTTTGGGAAGGGCTGCAGTTGCCTCTGCAGAGGATGTGCTTTGTCCCCCATGTTTGGAGATTTTGGGGCTTCCCCACTGGAATGCACCCCAAAGTAATCACAACTAGCTCACGTCCCATTCTTTATTTATCCAACTTGCACCCTGCCTTTCTGCCAAAAATGGCACTCCAGGGAGCTTACAGTCACAAAAAACAGAAGAAAACACAAATAAATTAAACACAGGAAATACAGCAAGCGAGCCCCCCCCCCCCCCGCCCAACAGGCCCACTGGCACACCAAAGGCCTGCTTGGAAAAAGTGATCCTTGCCTGCTGGCAGAAGGGCAGCGGAGGAAGCGTTGGACTGAACTTGGGAGATCAGGGTCTGTGCTCCGTTCCACACCCAGCCGTGAAGCCAAGTCAGGGATGCTCATTGCTGTGAAGGAAAAATGGAGAGGGGGCGAACCTTGCAACCCCCGTGGGTTCCTTGCGAGAAGGCAGGCTGGGTGCAAGGTTCATGCAATAACAGCCACCGTTGAAGGAGAAGGTGTTGCCTGCAGCTTGACATCACGTGCTTTAAAATGTATTTTGAAGGGGGTGCCCTTGTCACTGGAAGGCTAAGGCAAGGCGTGAGGTTGTTTTGCTCTTGGTTCGCGGCATATGGGCCAGGCTGCTTCTAGATCCGGTAAGCGAGCGAGCGATCGACGCGGACGTTGTGCAGGAAATCCAGCAGCTCTCTCAGGCCGCCTCTGCTTGGCTTTTCAGGAAGAATGCTGTTGAAATGGAGCTAGCCAAATGCAAGATTGACATGATGTCTCTGAACAGCCAGCTGTTGGACGCAATTCAGCAGAAGCTTAACCTTTCGCAGCAGCTGGAGGCGTGGCAGGTAAGAATTTGCTGGGGACCCGTGTCCCCCTTCCATGTCCCTGGGAGCCAGGGGTGCTGCACCGGCTGCAATCCAGCACCAAACCGCAAACCCCACAGGAAGGGAAACCCCTTGGAGGGGACCTTCAGGGTTCAGCTTGGCAGCATCACGGCGGAGGAAGTAAGCTGTTCACCCATTCTACAACAAGCAGGCGAGCGGCGTTAACAGCTGCAAAAATGTTACAAGGCAGAGGCAGAATCAAAGACCGGGGATGTGGGGAAGAAAGCAGCCTCCCTCTCACCTCCCTCTTTACCTCTGTAGCCTGGTAAAGCAACCCTCTCTTCTGGGTTCACACATACGGGTAACTCATTAAAAAACCCAAGGATCACAGTCCAACAGCAACCGTTCTTGTGGGTTCTCGTTCTGTGTTGCTTGTGGTTAACCAACCACGCTTTGTGAGCGTGGCTGGATTCACACATTCCAACAATCCAGAATTCAACAACCCATGAAGTGTGTGAACCCATATATGTGTGATTGAGCCCTGCCTGGTGTTCCTTCCTCTTGCCCTCAAGCGACCAGCAGACGCCTCTCCCTGCTCAGCCTTTTCTCCTGTTCTCAACTTTTCCGTGTTCTCCTTTCTCTCTTTTCTCCTCTGCTTCCAGTTTGCTTCCTCAGGGCTTTTTACTATATGGCTCCTTTGGTTTTTGATCTAGTGGCCTTTCTCAGTTCCCGTAACAACAGCTTTAGTCGTACACCCCTCCTGCCTTCAAGGTGAGCTCCCACCCTCTTCTCTCCTTCCCTGTCATCCTCTCCTACCCCATCCCATAATAGTTCAGTGCCACCTCATCCTCTGAGGTGAAAGGAATGCAAGCACCCCATCGATGTCTGTCTCTTCATCTCCACTGGCTCACCTGTTTGCATCTCTCTGGCCATCCTTCACACATCAGATTTGTCACGGTGAATTCGCTTGCCCACCTCTTGGATTCGTGCCCCTCTCCACACATGCGTTCTTCCCCATGCATGCACTTGTGACAGTGTTTGATGGCATTTCAGTGCACACACCCTGAGCACCAGGGTGCAATTCATGCAGAATGTGTGCCGCGCGGTTCTCAGCACAGCCTGGTATGGCTAGGAAAAGATTCTGGTCTGAGTCCAGACTGCAGCTGCCTTACCGGCCTGTTGCTCTCCAGATGTTCTGGGTGATCCTCGTCTTCCTGATCATTGGCCATGCTTGCTGGGGAGAGTTGGCATCTGGGGGCACCAGGAGGTACCAGTGACATGACAGGTAAATAGCAGCTTCCTGGGTACCTATCGGCTCTGCCGAGCGGCATGTAGAAGTTTTCAGGTGGACCCCCCTCTTGTCCAGGTAGGTAGGCAAAGACTTTGGTCTCAGACCCCGGAGAGCCACTGCTGATCAAAGGCACCTTAAAGGCTAGCAGAATTGTTGTGGCATCAGTTATAGTTGAGCTGGCATGGGTCACACACAGCCGGCACTTTCCTCAGTTACACTTTAGATTTATATCACAACTCTTTTCCTCTTGCAAGGAAGCCAAGGTGGCTTACAAGATCCTCCTCTTCCTTTCTCATCAGCCCTGTGAAGTACGTTAGAGTGAGAGCCTGTGAGTGGCCCAAAGTCACCCACGGAAGCTTTGTGGCTGATGGGTCAAGAGTGGAACTTGGGTCTCCCGAGTTCTGCTCCAACCACTTTACCACACTGTCTCTCAATTGGCAGGGAGATATACATTGCATTGTTTCTCTAAAATCAATTTAAATCCTCTTGCCCTTTGCCCTTCCTCTCCTTCCAGCTAATTCACAACCCCAAGTTAAAATCCTAATGCAGTAAGATGAGAATAAGGGCTCAAATCCAGGATCTACCCTCCCCATAGAGGAAGGGACCTCCTATAAGGAGGACAGCTCCTCTAGCAGAAGGTGCCTCTGCCTGGTTTGGGGGGATCCCACCTTCCCCACACAGCTCAGCTCACCCCATTGCGCAGCATCTGTGTCGCACTTCCAAGGGGCTGGAGGGGCAGCTGTGAGAAGGTGGGGGCCATGGGTAGAAGCTTGGGCTATACATCCAGTCAAAACAACTAAATAACCAGATACAGTGGTGACGAAAAAATGGAGAAGTGAGCCCCCAAGCCAGCTAATCCATGACTCAGTGCCGGGGGGCCGAGGGCCCTTTCAGCGGTGGGGACTCGCTTGGTGCGAAGGCTGAAGTGCGCACCTGTTCATCAGGGCTCACCCCTCCGGACATCTGCGCTGCCCTTATGCTGCTCTGAGGAATTTGGTGGATTTGCTGGGAATGGGCCTGCTGCCCTGGGATTCGGTGGCTGGCGTGGACGGAGCAGGGCAAAGGGGCCGGGGCACTACAAGGCAGCTTCATGGGCAATGCGGCGCTTCCCGGACTCTCCGCCGTCCCCGAGGCTGCAGACTGGATTCTGCAATGTGTGGGCTTAGAAGTATCTGCCGATCGGAGCGGATGCACTTGCGCCCCTCCAAGCGGGGCCCGGTGCTGCATCCAGTTGCTGCAGCGGGGCTGTTCTGCACTGGGCGTGCATGCACGAATGCCCCCGTGTTGCGCGTGCAGAGCACACGCGGCAGCCTCGTCCGTCTCGGCTTCATGTCCAGCGCGGCCTCAGATAAGAGCGGTCGTTTCCTGCCCAGTTGCTGATCCGCAGCTCTGCCCACGGTGCCGGCCCTTTCTTTTCCTCCCTGTTTGCCCACTTAAGAGAGGGCGGGAGAACGGGCAGGATCCGCAGGGAAAGGGGGGCTCCGAGGGCTGGCTTTGGGCCCCACACCTTGGCCATTGCTGCACCTGCCCCGGCACTAAACATTTTGGTGTTTAGAGTCTGGGTGTGGAGCAGAGACTGACACATCTTGTATTCGGCCCATCCATGGAGCTCAATGAAATGTGTGAGTGAACTAATGCGTGTGTGGTTCGAATGCTGCTCTGTGACTCGGGTCTCCACGTGACCATGAGACGCACTGGGTGACGGGGCCACTCACTGACTGGCAGCCTAGCCTACCTCACAGGGTTGTTGTGAAGAGGGACTAAAAGGGAGGAGGAACAGATAAACTGTCTCTCAGGCTCCTTGGAAGAGGAATAGAGGCAGGAAATAAGCAGAATAACCAACAAATTCAGCAAGGACCAAATATTCTTTCCTGTGGATCCTTTTCACTACGTTTTTGGAGGAGAAGGGAGTCTCTGCCCCCTCGACCCCCGAGCCCCTAATATTTCATTTATGCGAGCCCAAGTGTTTGGAAACGAGAGAGACTTGGACAAAATAGGCCGTGCGTGTTGCGCTCGCAGACGGATGAGAGCCATGCCTGCCCTTGGCTGCATTATTCCTGCGTGGGCGGGATCGGACCCCGCGGTCCTCTTTGTTGACGCTCACAGAAGCGCCACAGTCCCACCACTCGTGGCTGTGAATGCAAACCATGGAAACCGGCTCCCCTCACCTCTGTGCGCGGCCTCAGCTAATGGTCCTCCTCTCCCTGGGAGCTTTCTGCGTTCCGCCCCCACCACCGCAGATCTGGCTCCGCATCCTGCAGCAGCGCTCGCGATCGCTCAGTATTCTGGAAAGGAACTGTCTGTCCTTGCCTCGGACTCAGAACCTCAACAGCAGCGTAGCCAATGGGGACCGCAGGCCGGCGACTGCCAGCCGCTGGCTTCTTGCGCATGCAAGATGAGGCCTCCGGGTTGAATGGCTGGCTGTGTCGGTCTGCAGATGTTGCCAGAAGTGGTGCGTGCCCTCCTCCATATCCCTTTGCAAGGATGGTTGTTCCTAGCAACCAGGCCTGTGCTGCGATAAGCCACATGTGGGCTTGCAATTCGTGTTTTTCCCTCTTGGCTTCACCAGTTTCTGGTTAATTCTTCCACCCCCTCTTTATTTTTCCTTCTCTGTCTGGGTATTTTTACCCAACACTTCAGCTAAAAAAAGGCTTCCAGATCAGCTTACAGAGCTTAATAAAGCAACAGTCCCTGCCTCTGGTTTTACAATCTAGAAGGCATGACACTGAAGGAGAAGGCATTGGGAGGGCAGAGGAAAAAGGAAGAGTACAGCTTAGTGTTAAAGATGTTATACACTCGCCTTGCCCTCCAGATGTGCTGGACTCCCATTCCCAGAATCCTCCAGCCAGCTTTGCTCTAGGATTTGCAATCTAACAGATTGTAGCCTCCAAGTGGCCTTGATTCTCTCCCCGATGTGAACTGACTGTCGGAGCTGTGTGTTCCGGCTGGCAGGGATGGGTGAAGCAAATACTCTCCATCTTCTCCCGCTCTGGCCAATGTCTGAGAACAGGTTGGCCTCCCCTTTCTTCACAGGGGAGGCAGCTATTTTAGCTGCACAACCAATCTGCCTCCACTCCTGCCTGCAGTTTTTAAAGGCAGTGCCTGCACAAGTGCCTGTTGGATCATTTTGGATACAAATTTAAGGCTGGATTCAGAAGCAGAAGGGAAAGGATCTCGGAGCTGGTTTTGCTCGCAAGCTGAATACGAACCAGGGCAGGATATGGCTGCAAAAATGGCAAATGAAGTTCAGGTTGCCTCTAGATAGTTTCCCACTCAAAGGAAACGATGCTAAATTCCCCTCTGCTCCCCTTGGATGCTGTGTTCAGTTCTGGGCAACGTGCTTTAAGGAGGAGTCAAAGAAGCCGCAAACGAGTTCACAGGATGGGAAACTTAGCCCTGTGAAGGAAGACATGTTTTTATTGTGAGACTGTCCTGAGACTTTAGTAGTTGGACAGTACGTAAAAGCTGGACAGTGCGTAAAAGCTGGAAGGCAGGCAGGCAGGCAGGCAGGCAGGCAGAGAAAGAGAAAGAGAAAGAGAAAGAGAAAGAGAAAGAAAGAGAAAGTCCTACATTGAGCAGAGGATTGGACTTGATGGCCTCAGCAGCCCCTTCTAACTCTGCTCTTCTAGGATTCTAAGCTGGAAGAGACTGGGAATGTTTAGCCCTGGGAAGAGGAGATGAAATACGACGGCACTCAGAGCAGGCAGGCCATTAGGACCCAGCAGCCTAGGGAAGCCGTGGCTCCCTGCCACTCAGGTGTTCACGCCAGGGTGAGGCAGCTGTCTGTCAGGGGAGCGTCGAAGGAGATCGCCGCACTTCATGGAAGGGTGGACTCAATGGCTGTGCGTTTCTAAGAGTGGCCTCTCTATCCCTACCCAAAGCACAGCTTCCCTAAGTGTTACTTAAATACACAGAGGAGACTCCTAGTTCTCAGCCCTGCACTAGGCCCTGGACTGCAGGGGCATCCGAAAGCAAAAAAGTCTGCTTGCTGCTGGTCAGCCCATTGGGTGCAACTGTCTCTTCCCAGCCCATTTGCTCTGCATCCTCCACTGCATCCCGCTGCGCACTGGTGCTTCTCCCTGCAGCAAGGGGTTCCTCTGCCCACCCTGCCCTTCCCTGGCCATCCCGCTAACAGCCTCCTTTCTTCCTGCTCCAGGATGACATGCAGAGGGTCATTGACCAGCAGCTGATGGACAAACATCCCAAGGAGTGGAGCCAGCCCACCTATTCCTTCTCCAGCGGTCATGGAGCCAAGCGGTGTGCCAGACCCTCTCCCTTGCTGAGGCCGGAGCAGCGGGGGTCCGAGCCCATCGGGGCAGAAGGAAATCGCCTCTTTTCTTTTTTCAAGAAAAATTAATCGGAATGGAGCAACTGCTCTTGAGTTATTTTTATTTTAATATATATATATTTTGGAAAAGAAGGAAGCTGGGAAGGGCCAGCAAGCCCAGCCTGCGGCGGATGGTCCCACATTCTGATCATGCAAACAACTGCCCGAAGGGCAAAGGAGTTAACCCTTAAGAACTCTGCACTATTTTTGCAACCCGTGTGGTCTGTACGTAATGTTTACATGCATCATCGTCCAATTGCCGATCTCCTGCGTGACAGCAATGGAAAGGACTCTTCTTTCGACCTTAAGCAGATGTGATGAGAAAAATTCAAAACTTCAGGGTCTTCATTTCCGTTCTGTTTTTGCTGTGCGTAATCCAGGTGTCTTAAAGTCGTTCTCTTCTGCATAAAGAAAAACCTTTACAGGAGTGGTCCAGGTGTAATAAGCCAGGAGATGGGAGAGGGCAGGATGTTCAGGAGGAGGAGAGGAGAGGGAGAAAGGTCTAACCTCAAATTGGCTTGAGCTTCCGTTACTTTGGCACTCTCTCTCTCACCCATAGCTGAGAAAGCTGCATCCAGTGCTTTGTGGCTGGAAGATGCCAAGAGTCTTGCTACTTGCAAGCCCCGGAAGGTTCATTGGACATTCCAGGGTCCAAGATCCATCCCTAAAGCAGAATTCATGGGGGTCTTTCGGGGCCCTGTGTGTCCTCCCCACCCTAACCCTTTCAGAGTGAGCCATGTGCCCAAATCAGGCCCATTAGAGCAACCGGTGAGGAACCTGTTCCCCCGGACCCAAGAATGCACACGGGCTGACACGGCAAATCAACAGCAGCGGGTCATGTCGAAACCGGAACCGGCAGCATTTCCTGCTCCTACCCCGCCAGCTGAGGTTTGCCGGAAAAACACGTTGCTGCCCGAGCTGCTAAGGGCCGGTGAGCGTTTCGGCAAGCCCCTGGAGCTTGATGTGCCGCCTTGGGCCACAGCTCGGCTTGCCCTTGACCCAACTCAGACTGCTTGCGCTCGTTCCTGAATCCACCCCCCGGACTAGAGAGCATGACCGGAGGTGTGCGGTCTTTCCCCAGAGGGGAGGGGGCTACTGCTTGGATGCGGTGCGGATTCTTCCTCAGGGTGAAGCGTGTCGAGGCTTCAGCCTTGTTCTCACACTGAGCTGGAAAGCCGTGGCAGGGCTGTAGCACCTCAGAAGGCAAGGCAGTGGTTGCTCCTCCATGCAGACAACCAGCACCCCAAGCACCGTGGGTGGGAAATCCACCGCTTTCCAGATAATTGCTGGACCCCGACTCCCATTGGTCGGGGCTGACGGAAGTGGTCGCCCAACAGTGTCTGGAGAGCCATCCGTTCACCGCCCCAGAGGAGAAGGCGGTTCTTCTCCCTGACTTCCCCCTGGTGTGGCAGTGTCCTGACTGGTGAAAGATTTGGGGGAGAACACATCTGCAGGGTGGATCATTCCCACAGGTGTTCACACACCTGCATCCTGAGTGGAACAGCCCTGGACACTGGTTGGCCATCTCTGTGAGAACTAATCCTTTGCCATTCGTGGGCCCTCTGGGATCGATGGATGCCCAGGTGTGCCACCTGCCAGGACCAGTGATCCTTCCACACCCCCAGGCCCTCAAGCCAGGAGGCCAGCCATGCTATGGGCCCAGCCTGCACAGCTCTTGCACACCCCCTTCCCAGCCTGTGGTGCCCATTCTCATGGGGCCGGGCAGAATGAAGCGAGCAAGCTGCTCTCCTCCACTTAAGCCCCTGGGATGTAGCCCTCGTCCTGCAGCCGCATAGGGAGCATGGTGTGCCGTAAGGAGAAAGGCTCTTTGCTGACGGGGGAGGGCGCCCCTGCGCTTCGACCCTCCACCCTCGAGCAGCAGGCATCTTGGCCTCTGGCTTGCAATGACTTTCTGCATTCCAGTCTGCTTTTAGTGACTCAAAATGCAAAGCAGATGGAGAAAAGACTGCCAAAGTTATCGCACAAATAAGATGCTTTAGCTCATCCTGGTGCCCTCTAGATGTGGCGGACGTCAGCTCCCGTCATCTGCAGGCCACAGGGGACTTGTAGTCCAACACAGCTGGCGACCACCAGATTGCTCTGGGTTGCTGCATGGAGAGATCTAAAGGAAGGTACCTTCCACTGTGGGTAAAACAGAAGCCTTCGTTACTCGTGACATGAGCCTTAAGAAACAGCTGCCCCCAAATCACTGTTTTTGAAGATAATGCGCTTTGCACCCCCCCTGCCCCAAGCAGGCACAAGCAGTCCCTCAGCAGACTTGAAACTGACCCTGTGAGACAGTGCAGGAAAGCGACGGCAAATGTCTCGTTGGGTTAAACAACACTGGAGAACATCTGGAATGATCCAGTGAAAGAGACGATGCCTCTGGAAGTTTTTTTTAAATGTGGTTTTACTCCAAGAAGTGGCCTGTTTCTCTTCCTTTAATCTGGCCCCTGAAGAAGACCCATCCACAGGGCTCGAGCACATAGGACTACTTCTTGAAACAAAACTACACATTTATTTTCTGCATGCCAAGACATTCTCTCTCTCTCTCATTTTCGTCGGGTGGGCCAGTGGGGAAACTCCGAGCTGCGCGCTAGGAATGGCCCATGCGAACAGCTTCATATCCTATTCGTAGGGGCACAGCAAGGGCTTTGGCTATGCTAGCCGCTGATGGGGCAACCGAGAGGGGAAGGGGACACTTTGCAGTTGGCAGCTGCCCCTGCACGGGCCAGAGCTGCAGGCAGCTTCTGGGACGGTGTTTCTAGGGAAGACACCGTGTCCCCCTCTCTGGAACAGTTCCGCTCATGCAGGCTGGGGGTGACAGGAGTTTTAGCCCAACAGATCTAGGAAGCACCAGCTTGCAGGAGATGCTGCTCTCGAGTTTATTGCTGCAAAATGCCTGAAACTGGTAGAACAACTTTTGCACTTTGGGGGATGAATTAGAGAGAGAAAATGAGTCTGAGGTCTGAATCCGACCCCTCGCTTTCATCCCAGGATGCATGATTGTGAAAAACAGTGCATTTGTCTGTCAAATCTTCTGCCTCTCACCCCTTTGTGCCTCCTTGATCTCTCTCGGCCTCACAGGGCCTAAAACAAAACCCAACATCTTTCAACCATCATGCAATGAAACGTGGGCAGATTTGGGGTGGAAAGGAAAGTTGCTGAGCACAGTTCAGCAAAGCGAAGCAATGCAGCAGCCAACGAATCTACAAACATCTGCAAATGCATAGAGAGAACCTGGTTCAAACAATGTATGAGCACATCTGGGGATCAGACGCTGTGGTCCTCCTATACACTTGCTCGGGAGTAAGCACCCTTGCACCGTGTGGGTTTTTCCTGTGAGTAAACATGCAGTACGATCAGGCTGAAAGGTGTAGGATGGCTGCAAGGGGAGTATTATGACTAACATATGTTACTGTATTAAGCCAGGACTAGATGGGCAGCCGTCAGGGATTCTGTGGCTGCCTCTGCAGTCTAGGCTCTTCCTTGGGCATGGGCTGGACTGACGATCTCTTCCAGCTCTACAGATTATAATTTTATCCACCTCTGGATAATTTAATCCATCACTAGCTATCGCCCCTTGGTTCTGGGGATAGTAAAACGCAAGCAATAAAGGGCAGGGAGAAATGGTTGTTTCCCCTACCCCTCTTGCAAACCTGGGGGCTTTTCAAACTTCTCCAACCATCCCAGAAGGTGGGAATCTCACTTATTCCCCCCGCCATACCAACACAGGCCTGGCTACTGAATTCCTGCCTGTCATACTGTGAGAAGGCCGACCCACAACCAGAGGTAGAGCTTCGCAAGGGAAGTGGGTGGGGGCCAAGAGAGGGGCTACTGAGCAATTGTGTGGGGCAAAGACACCCCCTGCCCCCACCAGTCAAGATTAATTAGAGCAGAGAGAGAGCAGGGATCATTGTCTAAAGGTTGGGTTGGAAAAACAATCGCTTCACAACTCCATCTGTTTTTCTAAAGTGAAATGCTTACTGGGCGCTGCAACCACGGAATGGTATATTTGAGCCATCCTCAAGTGGCGCTTGGCTATATTTCGTGCTTACCCCTTGAGATGCAGGCAGCGTGGGCAAACGCTTATTAAGAATGCAGAGGCCGGGGGGTTGTGGAGCCTTGGGCTGAATGTCAGCCTTCACGGCAGATTTCTGACGCTCTGCTTAGACGGAGAAGGAGCAAGAAAAATTCTGCTAAGCCAGACAGCAACAGGCGTGCAGTGGAGGTTGGCTCCTGTTCTTGCTTCCATGTGCTTTGGTCTGCAGCAACGTTCTCCAGCTGTGCAGAAGCTTCAGAAACATTCACAGGGAGAGCTTTTATGCATGGCTTCTCTTGACATGGAATTTCAACATGCAGCCAAACTCCGTGCAGGGAGGAGCAAAGCTCAGTAAAGCAGACACCTGCTTTGTGTAGTCTTGAGGTTGAATCCCCCCATCTCCAAGACAGAATCTGCAGTGGCTGCAGTGCGGACAGAGTTTGGCTGGCTTAGACCAGTGGCCTGACCTAAGATGATGCAGCTTACAGGGCTACTGCATTTCTTTAAAAATCACAGGGCAATCGGAGGGTCACAGGGCAGCTGCATGGATGCCAAGTTCACAAGAGACAGCAGATGACAGGGGGAAATGGGTTGCTAGGACTGTACCATTTCAGAGGGCAAGCATGGTTTCCTGAACTCCTCCAGGAAAAATAAATGCATCCATGCCTATGGAGAACTGAACTGCCATGCAGGGTACAAGTTTTCTTCTTCCCCATTAATTTGTTGGGTTTTGTTCGTTTTAGGAATGTGCAGGGAGTTTTAATTTTTAGTAAGATCTTGAACGAGGGTGGACTACTTATGGTCCTCCAGAACTTTTGGCCTTTACAGCCCATCATCCTGCATTACTGGCAAACCTGCCTGTGGCTAATGGGAGTTGAAGGCCAAAACCGCAGGAGGGCCCTACGTTGGCCGCCCCATCTGAACTTGGGCAAGGGCAAATGGACGAAAGTAGATCACCAAACTGGGGCTTGTAGGTCCCAGAAGCTCCTGCCAGTATGACCAACAGTCAGGAATCCTGAGAGGTGCCAGGAAAAACAATCTGGTGAACTACTTTCTGCTTGCCCCGATTCAGGGGAACAGTTGGAGGTCTCAAATGCACCCTGAAATTGTACCGTTTAGGAAGAGTTTGAGCCCTTCTGCTGTTTGAATTAGGTGGTAAACCAGATTTGCTCAACCTGGTACCCTCCAGATATACTAGATTATAACTCCCATAATCCCCCACTCAGCACAGCTGGGATTATGGGGATTGTAGTCTGGCACTTCTGGGGAATGCGTGAGAGCGGGAAGATGCCATAAGCCAAAAGAGATGTTGCTGCAGGGGCAGGCAGCATTCCCATGAATTTCCCACAAACCAAATGTCAGGTCTGGGGACAGCTTACTCGTGCGAAGACCCTCAGCTGGGCACGATTCCAGCCTCAGCAGCTCATGCCCCCTCCCTTTCCCCAGATGGCAGGCAGGGGAGGTTTGTCACCAGGTCCCCAATTCGGGGTGGGGGGTGGGAGAGGGAGGGAAAGAAAAGCACACAGCAGGGAGAGGCAGACCGAATGTATCTGAACAAACCACACCGTGCGGTAATTTTTGTATGTAGCAGCAATGTAAATAAGTGTATGGTTTTTATAAAATATTCTATAAAAGCATATTTTAGTAGAAAAATGCAGCTCTACGGCTTCTTTTGTAAATAGTTCTCATATGAATAAAATGGGTCGGTTCTCTGGGTAGCGTCTTTTTGAGTTGCTCGCGGGCAAAGGATGGGTGGCCTGATCAGCTGCCCTGGCTTGTTCCTCGGGGAGTCCTCTGGGATAGCTGTTCACACACCTCCGTCGTAGTCTCACAACAGCAGCCCTGTGAGGTAGGCCAGGCCGAGAGGGCGTGGGTGGCCCAAAGTCACCCAGTGAGCTTCATGGCCAAGCGGGCAGTGGCACCCGGATCGCCCATCACCACCCCATCTCGGCACCGTATTTAAATTGGTGGTGGGACGGAGTTGGAGAATCTCTGCAGTGGACGGGGGCAACGCCAGTCCCTGCAGGGTTCTCTAATGGCGAGGCCCCCTTTTCCCAAACCACAAATTGTTTGGAGCTTCCCTGACTTTGGGGCACTCCCCCCCACCCCATTCTGAAAAGAAGTGCGCCTCTTAAGGGTTTGTCCCTGGCAGCAAGGACCTTGAGCTGCACTGGGCTGTTTGGTAGCTCTTTAACCCTGATGGGGTTTCCCTAGGTGTCATCTACGTTTGAAGACATAATCACATACCTATTGATGACTAGAAACTTGTAGTAAACGCAAACATGTTTGCCCAATTTTCAGAGCCTCCCAATTCAAGTCAAAGAGCAGTTGGCTCAGTACAAATTCATGGGAGACCACAGGGTCCCCCCACTACATTTTCAGCAGTGAGTGGTTATTCCTACTCTTTGCTTCCTCCCATCTTCTAATGCCTTGCCTTGACCATATATCTGTCCCTGACAGATGACCATTATTCCATTGCATTCATACCAAGCCTTTCTTTCTCTTCCACTGAGGCCAAGATTTGCCTCCTCTCCATTTTCATACTCTGCGGGGTAGGCAGGCTGGAAGTCTGGGATCAGGGAGTTCTGAGGCTGAACAGGAACTAGAGCACAGATCTCCGTGGTGATCTCAGCACTCTCAGTCACCTCCACAGTACAGTGGTCCTTTGATGGCTTCCCGAACTGTGCTCATTTCCACCCAATCGAAAAGCCTGAAGTGGGTCGCTTCAGGGGTGGTGGGTTGTCTGGCACAGAAAGGCAGCAGGGCTGCTGCTACTGGCTGCCAATATCGACAGAAGCACCCTGAGGCTGCAAATTGCACACTCCCCACGGTAGAGTGACCCCAAAACATGCTGCACCTCTTGCAAGCTGGACACCGTCCAGCCCCAAAGCACACCAGCTGGGTTTTGGGGAACATGGGGGGGAAGATGCATTATGGATGCAGGAGAAGGTACAGAGTGGGGAAAGGGCTGATCGGATTCTAAGCACACGCCAGTAAGTGGTTTAAAGGGGAAAATATGTTGCAGTGCACTAGCCGTGAAAAGTTCTGAGCAAAAAGAAAAAACAGATGGACTAGAGCAATGCTCTGCTGCCAACCTGGTTCCTTGAAGGTTCATTGTGTACCTAGCAAAGTTCACCTGCTGCCTCTCTGCAGTCTTCACTGCCTTTGGCTGGGGAAAAGCCGTACCTGAGCACCTGTACCAGAGAAACTTTGAGTGATCCCTCCTTGGCCTTCCTCAAGTTCCCTTACTTCCAGGGAGACTTTCTCCTAGCACCCATGCTAGAAGAGAACCCCCTCTCCCCAAATAACCTGGCTCTGTGGAGTAGCTCTCCTCGGGTCCCTCTCCACTGGTTGCGGACTTCTGAGGGATCTCTGATCTGTGTGTCTGATGACTGATTGGCAATGGCTCGTCTCCTGCTCTGCGGGGATCCTAGGAGATTCTTCTTGCCCAGCACCGGGATGGTCTACTATCAAATAGATTGACTACAAGCCACTGCTTGGCTTACAGGTCTCCTCAGCCAGGACAACATCTGCATCGCAATGCCAGTATCAGGGGACTACTTCAGCTGTGAAGAGGAAGCTTTCTGTCACTTGGACCTGGGTAAGATTTGGTCAGTACATTTTGACTAAGTGGGACCCTCCAGGCTGAATGTAACAGTGAGCTACTTTAAGCCACGATAGGGTGGAAGGTCTGGCCCTGGTGTATCACCTTGCCCCTCTTGCCTTCAGCCCCATTCACCACTGGCATCCAGCCCCCCAAGGGTGTCCATGGAATTGAATTTGGAAAGAATTCAACACCCCTCTTCTCAGCAGCACTCACGTAATAGGTTGGAAGAGCATTAGGTTTGGGAAGGGATCACTAAGCAATTTCAATTATCTGCTTTTCATGAGGATTCTGCCAAAAGAGGCTCAAGGACCGTTTGTTTGGTACTCCAATCATTTTCTGGGAAAGGGAACATTTCCATTTGGAAAAGCACTGCCTTACTTACTCCAGGATAGTTATTTCAATCCTAAATGTCTACCAATTAACCTGCTCTTAGAAAATAATATGGGTTAGGGCTAGGTTGACATTTTTCTGGGCTTTTGAACTAGCTGTCCTGTTGTGTTCGTTGGTTTAGAAATGCCACAGGTGAATTGAGAACTGCCCAGTGAATTCCACCCATCCTGAGAATTATTCATTTGCTCATTTGTCTCTCGTGTTGCATCTTGTAATACTGCCTGTTTCACAGGGGCAGCCTGGGGGAGCTAAGATGCTGAAGTGCGTATCTTGTTCCTTAGAACTAAGGACAAAGCCCATTCAAGTTATTTTAACATGCTGTGTTGCAAACTCGGATGGCAATACCTCAACACCCACTGCAGCAAATGTGCAGAGCTGGATAAATTATGAAAAAATCTTTCAGCCAGATGCTTTTGCTAATGGCCAAATTTTATTTCAGAGCGGCTCCAGATTTGAGAGGTGAGCAAAGGCAAAGCTGGCAGCAAAGGGGAGAGGATTTTAAAAATACCAGCATAACTTAAAACTCAGAAACCGTGTCTCAGGAGAATAATTTCATTCTTAAAGAGCAGGAGAAATGCATTAAAGGCAGGAAGCCAAGTAATTGTTGGCTGGGGAAGAGGCACTGCCTTCTTTTTGGGGGACTCCTTGGACCAGGGAGCCTGCACAGCTGATATCTACAGTGTCATTGCAACTCAGATCATTGCTCAGAAGTTAAAGATGTTTTTAGTATTTCCCTCAATTCGCTTTTCAGTGCCATCTGTCACTGGATCAAATGTAGGCAAATGGAAGGAGAATGCATACCTGTGTGTCTGATGGAGTCTCTTCAGATGTGCAGGACTGCAACTCCAGTGCCCATGCCCAGTTGGGAAGGATGGGATTGCAGTCCTGGAGGGAACCAGAATTGGGAAGGCAAAAACAGAGGCTTGCTTTGAGAAGGAGCAGGGAAGCAGGGATGGGACAGAGTTGTGACAGTAACCCAAGAAGGCTTTTGGAGAAGGGCGGAGCCTTGGCAGATAGAGAAGGAAAGTCCTCTTTGGGCCCAACAACAGCAACAGGAGCAAAGAAGGAAAGGGTGATGGCGCAGACGAGGGAGCTTGGAAGGTCAACCCTCACATCCGTTGTCCTTCATCACTTTTCTTTATGCAAACATGGAAGTTTGCAAAGCCCTTTTGCAAGAGAGGCAAAGGCTCAGATGTACACAAGAGCTTTGGTGCCTGGAAAGGGCAGAAGCCAGGGAAGAAACAGAGACAAAGAGCCTTGGGGGAAGATTTGGCAACTTGGCACCTTTATTTTTAGTTTTTTAAAATTATTTAAAAAGCATAATTAGAAAGTTTCAATATACAGAAATTATCCTAGCAAACCAGTTAGACATTCCACCGCTTGACATCAGCACCGCTAAAGACGCAGCCCCCCCCACCCCAACCCCAACCTTAATACTCCATGGGCACAGTCCTCTGGTGCTGTCCATCAAGTGACCTGTCACCGCACAGCCTCCCTGAACTGCAACTGCAGGATCAGGAGCAGCTGCCAGGAAGGACCAGAGCAGAGCAAACGCTGCGACCAGTGGCCTTGGGAATGCATCCCACACTTCAGAACAGGATCCAAAACTGGACTGCTGGACTGGCAAAGGTCACACCTGGGCACCCCCAACCTTCACAAGAGTGCCCCTTCTCCCGCACAGTGAAGACCCCCTGCTGCTTTGGTCCACCCATCCCAAACCAATCCATCAGTATCTTCCCACCATTTCAGACCAAGCCATTGACATGTTCCCTTTGGCTCACAGTTCCAAAGCGGGTTGCTTGGCTCATGTCCCCATCCTTGAATTCATGAGAAGCAAGCAAGAAGAGTCGCATGGAGAAGTCGGCCATGGAAGATGGGTGGCTGGGATGGATGTTGATTTCCAAAACACTTTAATGGGCAAAAACCCGTCACATTCACTGCTGGAGTGGGAAAGTCTGCAGGACCTGACTAGCTGCTCTGCAAATTGCAGGATCGGGGCTCGTACAACCATCATTTGTTGTATTCTTCAAGGCAGGCAAACCAACACACCTGTTTTCAACTCAGCCTTTCCGCCATGATTCGATGTTGATACGAAGGACCTCCTGTTTACTTGAGCACCAGCAACTTCCAGTATCGGGGCAAAGAAGAATCAGTCTGGTTTGACGCACATACGCACCTGGGCTGTCTTAATACCCTAGACAAGCCAGTGCTCAAATGCTGCAGCATGGAATCCTACCTTTTTCCCTACCAAAGCTCACATCAGCCAAAGGAAAGGCCTTGTGCTTTGCGAGCGAAGTGGCAGTGTCGAGGGAGTTCCAGTCACCCGCTGCACAACTTGGAAAGGGTAGCTTCCCTTGATTTCTTAATTCCCAAGAGACAGCCTCCCTGCTAAGAGGAGGCCCCAGCGCTGAGTGCAAGCATGATTTAGAAGAGCCCGATTCCCCTTCCTACTCTTGGCAGTGCTTGAAGGAAGAAAGGGAACCGAAGGTACTTTGCCCATCAAATCTGCCCTTCTGAGTTGGAGAGAAAACGCATGAGGGCACAGTGTGCTGGGTGAAGGGAGAAAGGAAGAAAGGGGCTTTGAGGGATTTGTACTTCTGTAGCTCTTGACAGGAGAGTCATGCAACTGGAGGGGGCTGTGGGGAGATCACAAGTTTCAATCTTCCCCTTTCTTGGCCTGAAGGTTTCCTGTTAATTAAATGAGGATAAACTTGGGACAGAAAGAAGAGAAAGATGAACCCTGGCCATACTGTGGAGGAGAGCTCTTCCCAGGACTGCCAAAGCTCCAGAAACAACACTGGCTATTTTGGAAGACGCTCGGAAGGTTCTCAATGCAGCCTGCAACACCCAGAGCCCCCTTCTGGCTTGGTAGCTAACTACAGCCGAAGCATGACGGGTGCCAACCAAGGCAACATCATTTATGGGAATTGTACTATATCTTTGGGGGTGGGGGGGAGATTACTTTTAATCAATGCATGATCGGTTGATATTAAGAAGGCAGAAGCCAAAGCAACACAAGGGGGGCGCAGCTGGTTAAAGCCACTATACATTATATACAAACTCTTAGGATCAAAAGTCCACTTGGTATGCAAAGTCTTTTGTTTGTTTACACGATACTCTTGAAAAAAGGAGGAAGGAGAGGGGGGCAGAAATCACCTCCACCCGAAACCTTCTTGGCACTATTGTGGTAGGGTGCCTCCTGATCGAAAACGCGGGAGAGAACTCATTTAAATAACGGCACAAAGTGAGGAAAGCCGGTCCTCCCGAGGCCGAGGCCAGTGGAACCGCCTGCGTCTGGCTGGAAGGGCTGAGCTGTCCGAGCGCAGTCTCTGCCGCAGAAGAAGGGGCATTAGCAGCAGCGCTTCTTTCGTTTACTGTTCTTCGTTAGCTTCACCACGTCGTTCTGCTGCTGCTGCTGCTGCTTTGCTAGGTTGTCCTTCTTGGCTCGCAGAACCAACTCTGTGATGCAGTTGAACATCTGCAGTGGAGAAGAGGCAGAAGGAAGGTCAGAAGCCAGGCTGGCAACCGTCTCCACACATGCTCCACAAGTGGGTAATCCTCGGATCAGTGCCATCACAGCTCTCATCCTCGTTGGCCATTGGCCAGGGCCCGGCAATCAGCTATGGGCTCCCGGGGAGGAACGCGTGTCCCTGTCCCTCTTTTACCAGCCTGGTGTAACAGGAGAGCAATACCACTCCTCATTAACATTGACTCAGGCATGTGCTGAAGCTCACCTTTCCGGCCAGGAAGAAAAGTTAAGTTTGCACGTTTCTGGGCAAATGCCATCAATTATAGTAGGAAGAACAAGAATCAGGGCTAGGTTTCACTCAAAGAAATAGCATCCTTTTTGAGGGAGGGAGGGTGGGATGGACAGACAGATGAACAAATGGAGGGGCGGACTCCTCATGATTCTCAGAAGGTCAGGGTAGGAAGAATGCAGTTACGATCTGGCCTTTATAACAAAGCTGGACGTTTTAGAAAGGAGTCCTCCTGCTGGTGGTCTTCCAGGAACCCTGTGCAAGAGCGACTGTTGTCACATGCGCTCACGCAGGGCGGCTGGTGCTGTCGTATATTCTGCTGCAGTCTAACCGTGCGAGCAAAGAGCTGTGAGGCCGCGTCCCTGTGGCAGTGATCACACCCCACCCTCGCCCCACCCAGAAGGCAGGCATTGATGGAAGGCTGCTTTCTTTAGCATTTTATGTAACCTGCCTTGGGATGTGTCAGGACCAAGCAGGCCAGGCTCAATCTGCCACGTTTTTCAGCTTGCCGGGCTGTAAAGAATTGGATTATAGGACGAGCTGTCAGCAGCCCCACGCCCTGCCCCAAGCCCAGAGCCGCTTTTGGGGAACGCCAGACGAAGTGCTCCTGCAACCTGTGCCTGCAGCAAGATTAGTCGGCAGCCAGGACTCCTTTCCTCCACCCCCCAGTACGAGAGAGGAGCGTCCTCCAGTGTGTGGGGCAACCCACGCCATCCAAAAGTAGTTTCCAAATCCAAATGCTGAGCTTGAGATAGGGTGGACAGCAGGAAAAGCATGCCGGGTTTATTCTAGGTCACCCACAGCTCTCGGAGACAAGGCGGGAGCCTGGTTCAGGCTCACACAGGAGAAGGACAGCATTTTCTCTCTGGCAAAACAACTTCCATGAAAACAGAATGGGGACATTTCAGTTCTGCCTGTCAGAAAAGGGGGGCGTTCAGGCCAAGGGGAGAACAGACTGCCCAAACTGCTCCTAGGAGACAGGTGAGAGGGGAGTCCAGCCTCCAGCCACAGAAAGTCTTGCCTGCAGCCATTCCCTTACGCAAAAAGCTCAAGGTGTGAACGGCACACGGTCCTTGGAGGAAATGCACAGTCCTTGGAGGCCTCTGTGGGAGCAGCTGATAGGCTCCAGGGGGAAAAGGGAGGCAAATGAGCTGGGAATATTCTCCTCTCTCCACCCCTCTCTCCCCATGCAGCACCTGCTAGACTAGACATCTTCTAATCAGATTTCTTGGGATCAGGGATCAGCCCATGTGCTCTGGACGCAGCAGGGTGTCTCACGGCACTGGAAAGGTACCAGGAGGCCAAAATGGGTTATGAGAAAGAACAGAGGGTTTTTGCAAAAAGGTGAAGCCTGTCTCCACACATCTTCCCCATGCCACGAGCGTGATTTTCAGGGCCACCGAGCTGGTGCAGGAAGCTTACTGAGCCACACGTCCACTGGGGCAGGGTGTGGGCAGACACAGTGCTTCAACCCGGTGCAGCAGGGGCTGAACCGACTTTTGGAGAAGTGCTCAGAACCACATTCCAGGGATGGGCAGGACCCGTGGCAAAGCGGGTGGGATCCAAGCCAAGGCGGGCCCAAAACAACCAAACCGCCAGAATATTGTAGCTGAAAACTCTGGTTGCCAGTAGCTAAGCCTTAGGAGAGACATGTCCACTTTTTAGAATGGAGGAAAAAACAGCAACGGCCAGTAAACTGCCAAGCAAACTTTTGTGTGTGGGGGGAGGGGCGGGAAAGGGTAGACAGTCATTTGGGGAAGCCTGGAGACCCCAGGGAACTGGATTTGGCACATGGGCCTCAAGTTCCCCACCCAGCAGGTCTGGTATGAACAGGCTGTCTGGGAAAGCCAGCACGGCGAGAGGGGCAGGTGACCTTGCTCTGTCCCCCTCAGTCTCTCAGCTCCCTCCCGCCTTTAACTGGTCCACATCCCAAAGGATTCTTTCCCAGCATCTTGGTCCTTGCTACACGGCCCTGCAGGGAGAGGGAAAGGCAGCCCTTTCACAGCCCTGCAATCTCCCCACCCAACACCCTTACGGAACTCTCTTAAGGGAAGGAAATGAAGGAACAGTTGAGGAAATGCCCCCACCCTGATCCCCTTCCCCAGCTGCCACCACCGCTTTACCTCTTCCACATTAACGTTCTCTTTGGCACTGGTCTCAAACAGTTGGATCCCCATCTGCCCGGCAAATTTATAGGCGTCTTCTGTCTCTACCACTTTCCGTTCCGGATCATCATTCTTATTACCAACTACAAGCAACAAAAAAAAAAAAAAGAAGAGGTCACCAGTGCACTCGAGAGCCCAGTGCTTAAGATCGCTTAAGGGGAGCACCTGTGGAGCGATCCATTCCTAGAGTTGTGGCTAACGAAAGTAAAGAGTAATATTTATGGATTTAAGGCAGACTTCCCAAGGCTGATGCCCTCCTGGTGGTTTAGATTGCAGCTCCCATAGTTCCCAGCCAGTATGGCCAATACAGTACGACCGAAAACAGCACTGGGAGGAAGCCTGATTTAAGGTATTGATATACTGTTTTGCATACAGCTCTTACTGAGTGGCTTACATCGCCACCACTGCATCAATACATCCATGGAATTCAATGGTAAAGGCAGTAAACCTACAGGAATGAAGAACAGATCTCTCCTTCCTTTGGAAAAAGATGGTTCTCAATTAGCCTGGTGGTGGCAGTTGTGGGAGAGAAAAATTTAAGAAGTGCTTCGGAGAGTTTACAGTACTCCACCAGATTGCCAGTAATCCTTCCAACAGCCTTATAAAGGAGACTTGTCTTCTTATACCCATATTGCAGATGGTAGGGATAGGGCACTGAGGCTGAGAGACAGCAGCTTTCTGAAGACCTCCTAGAAAGTCCATGGCTGAAGTGAAATGTAAACCGAGATCTATGCTGGGAGATTTAAACTGGCTGTAACTCACTCTTGGCCACTATGCCTCAGGAGGCAAAGAAATGTAATCCGACGCATCAGCTGTCAACTGGCCATGGTGACATGACTCAAGGTTCCAATCACCAGGCAACTTACCCAATATTCGGCAAACATCGTCACAGTTCTGGTTGATTTCATGTAACCACCGCTTGACATTCACAAAAGATTCGGCGCTCGTGACGTCATACACCACAATCACTCCGTGGGTGCCTCTGTAGTACCTGAGGCCAAGGAGATACACCGATCCTCATTTCAGAGTGTTGATTTCAGTATCACGGTGGCTTAAAGTACATCACCAAGTTCAGGTCTTTACTTATATGCAAGTATGTATCCTGCCTTCCTATCATATGACCTTCAAAAGGGCTGACAATTGGACAAATAGATCATACCCGCATCATAGAACAGATCAGTTTAAACACAAATCGGGGAGGACAGCAGCAATTTACGATTTGTAGTATCCCCCTCGCATTAAACAAAGAGATGTGGCCGGGGGGGGGGCACCACACAGGTGAAGAGACACTTCACCTGCTTGTCGTGAAAGAGAAGCAGGTCACCCCTGCAACCATAACCATTGTGGAGTGCCCTTAGCTGCTTGGATGGGGTGAATGAAAACCACACCAAGAGGAGGAGGGCTAGAAGTGGCGATTTTGAATGGTGGGGCGGGGGGGGGGGAGGCAAGTTCAGGCCGCCTGCTCTTCCTTCTGTGCATTGCGCAGTGGGGGAGCACATGATGCAGGAAGTGGAAATGGATCTGTGGGATGCAGTGTTGGCAGGTTCGAAATACCAGATTACCATGGAGAGGACTCTGCGAGCTGAGGACAACTGTTGTCACTGCTAGCTTGAAGCTGATTAGAAATTCAGGGAAAAAAGATTAATACGTGCAGAAGAAATTATGGAAAGGGCAGTGTCGCTCAGACTGGAACATTAAAGGGTAGCAAGCTATGCTGAAGCCGGAAGTCTCAGCACAACATACAGTGCACATCCTGCGGTGGTGAGACAATGTGAGGCTCGTGGATGGATGTGGTGAGCAGCTGAGACGCTTGCAGTTGTGTCACTGTGTAGGGAATGCGATGGAGAAGCGTTTAAGGGCCAAAGCACGGTCCCTCTCCTATCTCCAAGCAAGGGCTGGAGAAAACTCCTGTCTGAAGCCCTAGAGCCAGTCCGTGTAAGAGAAATGGGCCGAGAGTAAGCCCCCAGAAGGCTGGGACTACCTCTTCCAGAAGCCCCTGCTAGCAAAGCCAATTGTCAGCAATGCTGGGTGTTGAAGCCCAAAACCTCAGAGATGTACGTACTGTCTATCCCTGGTGAAGAAACCGGTCTACTACGAGATGGACCGCCACTTCATCCAGCATAAGGCAGCTTCCTGTATCCAGCTGCTGAAATGTCTTTCAGGCAGGGACTTGCGCATGTGAAGCGTCATGCAACTTTGACAGGACATTATAAATAACACCAGCTCACAGACAGCTTTCTCGCCACAGGAATGAATGAATGAATGAATGAATGAATGAATGAATGAATGAATGAATGAATGAATGAATGAATGGGAAGAAGTCACCTTTTGCATGTGAATAACCTTAGCACGCATTAAGTGCCATCTGAGCGGAGCACTGGAATTCATTTTGCACATCCCTGACTCCATTTTCATCAGACTGTACCAGAGAGAAGCCCAAGAGCATCAGGAGAATTACAAAACTGCAATTTACCATGTGTTCCACAGAGGCTGGCAAAACGAAATACAAGAATACAGCATTTAGGAGCTATGCTCATCACTAGGATGAGGCCGAGGGATGAAGCCTCGGGAAACTAAATACCACGCTGTGCCGCTTCAGCGTGTACCCAGTCGTGGGTGCAGCCCTTCGTTTACAACGTGGATCAGTGGCGACGCCATTGTGCAGCTTTTCCTGTTGTGTTCAGAAGCCTCCTTTCTGGGTATTCCCCACAAGCTACTATGCCTCGAGTCATTCACAAGGGGTGCATGCACACACAGGAAACGCTCTGCTGACACCACAGAACGAGAGACAAAGCAGCTGACCCACACACCCCATCTGAGAGCTAGTCAGTGCTGCCTGGCAGACCGTTTTACCCAGATCGCTGTTTCCTGTCTGAACTTGGGCCACAAGAACACAGCTCTCAGAAGCTGCGCTTGGGACCAGGAGAAAGCCAGGGCACTGGCTGTGCTCACGGATGGCCTGCAAGCTGCTTCCAGTGGCAGTGAAGAAGCACAACAGGGCCTCACCGTCTTCCTGGACAGTTGCTGATACTTCTGACCTGAGGGAAACTAACAAAGGGGACAGTTGCCCACTCAGCTTCTGTGCTGGGGGAGCTCCCCTCCTACTCCAGATACATTGCGTAGCAAGATGTTCCTTTGTTCCATTTCCGAAACAAGTCAAAAAGAAATCTCATTTGTCAGAAGGGAGACTTTTTGTAACCTGCACCTTTCCTGCAAAGCTCCTTTGTAATCTAATCAACATGCTTAGCTTCTTCCTCCTTTGCCCTGGAAAGCTGCAGACATGGGATCAGCCCACTAATAAGAAGTTGGATCCCCCCCCCCCCCCCGCTTTGCCGGCTTGCTGTTTACCCTTGGCCAGTGAATGCCTAAGCCCCGTTAAGTTCCGTGCAATGCAAAAGACCCCATCCAACATTGTCAATACTGGCTGATTTAAAATCAAACTGTTGTGTTTTATATATCAGCTAATTACTAAAGGCACGTCCACACTGTAAATATACTATTTTTATATCACTCACTGTAATGGCTCACCCCAAAGAATCCTGGGAACCACAGTTTGGGGAAGGTGCTGGAAAAGTTCTGCCAGTGATTAAGCCCACCCCATCAAAGAAGTACACTTCCCAGGCTTCCCTGGTGAATGGGGATGACTACCTAATCAGTTTTAACCTTGTAGCATAAATACATCCATAGCAAACAGCCTACATGGGAGAACAGGCAGAGAAAATGAAAGTCAGAAATCTGGCATGCAAGCAACTCCCATTCAAAAAAATGGTTCAAGTGTCAAATGACCCAAACTACTTCTGTGGGGTACTTCCTCTTTTCAAACATGTGTCTCTCTGTGACCAACCAGAGGTTTCTTTCTCTGCATTTGTTCCGTCAGATCACTATGACCACATCCTCAAGAAAAAAACGGGTTCCTGTGAATCAGTCATACGTCTATCTGGGTGAAGTGCCACCAGCAGAAAGGTAATTCTCCTATCAAGCTGGGACCCAGCCTATATTGCGACACCAGATTTTGTGGAACACGGGTGGGCCTGCAGCTGCCATCAGGTCCAGCCAGCACGGATGGAAAGGGATAATGAGAGCTGAATGCTGAAACATCAGGAGAGCGAGAAGCCGCCCATGCCAGTGTGGAAACATACAGGTGCACGGGAAGCCTCGTGTTCTCCACACACAACCATCACATCGCATGTTACACGGTGCTCCTTGCGGTCCACTGAAATCTGAACATGCCACGGGTCTCTGCCACCTGCACTGCCAATACAGCGCAAGTGCACAGTGCAGTAATACAAAAGCTGGGAGTAAAAGCTCAGATGGGAAGCTCCACAGCCAAGTATCCCAAGAGCTGTACAGAAATCATCAGGCAGGTTCTACACATGCATTTTGCAAATGAACCACAGTTCGATTTCCTACCTCATTTTCTACAATGTATTGTGCAATTTTAACTCTTTTGTGCAAGTTATTCATGGGGACCCACAGTGTAGGTCGGTGACTGTGGCCATGCCTGTTGTTATCACCAGAAACATCAAGTATTATGGCTGTAAGATATGCTGGCTGGGGCATGCTGGGAGATGCAGGCCTTTTCTGGGTCTAGACTCACATAGGAGTGCACTATGATTAGGCTTTAATCCACTAAAACTTTTCAATTAGGCCAATTCTAATAGATGGGCAGTGTAAAAGGCACACTTTACATTTTTACACTTGTATATTTTTAGGTTATCTTGGTTCTGAGAAGTAAAAATAATTTTAGGGGGAAAGGGGTGTGAACCACCACAAAAGCCAATGCAGATCTGGAAGGGAAAGGGGACAACCTGAATGAATAAATGATCCCACAGTAAGTGATTTGATTTATTGGTCCTGGAGGTAGCGCTGGCATTGTTGAATTATGTTTATTGGCAGTGTTTAATTGTTTGTTGTTATTATATTAATTGTATTATTTTTGCAGTTTAATCAAAATTCTTTTTTTAAAGGGTTATCTTGGTTCTGATGAGTTAGTACAGCCTTGCCCAACCTGGTGCCCTCCAGGTGCGTTGGGACTAAAAATGCCGGGATGACTGCAGCTGAAGCATTTGGGAGGCACCCCAAATTTGTGGGGGGGGGGAACACCAAGTTGAGGAAGCTGAGTTACTATATCAGTGAATGAAAGAGACAAGATTTAACATGAACCATGAGAGGGGCCACATTTTTGGTCGCCATCTTTTCCATGAGCACCCTCCTGCCACAAGATCCACCTGCACTTTCCCAAGGGAAGAGTCTGGAACCTGGACTGCAGCACCCATTGCCAAAGACCAGAAAAAGCTGCCATAAACACCTCCACATATCATTAACATATATTACCTTTTTGTGGTTTTCAAGTACAAGGCGCTTTGGGAGTCCATCTTGGTGGGAAAGCGGAATCAAGGCAACAATAATTATGATCATCACTACCGGCAGTGTGTCATTTGCTTTTCTCATAATTTCAATAGCCTGGAAAGGCCTCCATTCATTTGAAGCAATGAACCAGTAACAACACACGATCTTCACTGGGTGGCAGCCTTATTAAAATAGACTCACGTTGACGTGATGGTCCGGAAGCGCTCCTGTCCAGCAGTATCCCAGATCTGTAGCTTAACCTTTTCGCCATTAATCTCAACTGTCCGGATTTTGAAGTCAACTCCAATTGTGGTAATGTAGCTGCCTGCCAAGGCAAAGAGCAATAAGAAACCTGACCTATTCCACTCCTTTCCAAATATGTTAAAATTGTCAGTACTGGCTAACACTTCTCTGCAGACTGCAAGAAATCTAAGAAGAGCTCCCATTCACTTACTAATGTTTCCTTACAGCAACTCCCTCAAAACCTTGAAAAAATGTGAATTCTCTAGCAATGAAAACAGTCTATTTTTCAGAATTATGGACTGTACGTGCACAAACACACAGAAATAGCATTATTTAATTGAACTCAGATGTACAATCCATCATATTCCACATGCGCGAGGTTAGTCACAGCATTGGGATCGGACAGAGAGCCACAAAAATGGTACATGCAGACATGCACATTCCAATTTGTGCCATCTTCTCCCATCCTTTCCCCGCCTTCTATATATTGGCACACAAACTTCCATGCCTATGTTTTAATGAAAAGAAACAGTTTACAGCCAGGAAGCACCCATCATTTCCATCACAGATCTTGGTGAAGCAGTGTCCCGCTTAGTTCCGTAACAGAAACATTGTATGGGCAAGAAGGGACACAAGGAGAAAGCTTGCCCCAAGCAATCCATTGCATACAGGGCCTTCGGCCACTCGTTCCGCTGCTTGCAGTCCCTTCGCTTCTCCGATGGAACTTGTTGCGCATGGCTAGAACCATCCCAGATATCCTTGGATGAAAACTCCACTGGAATTTCCCTCAGCCCCCTCACCTGAGAAAGTGTTGTCTGCAAAACGCAACAGCAAACTGCTCTTGCCGACACCTGAGAGAGAGAAAGAAAATGGAACTGAAACAGGAGAGAGTGGCATTGCACGCCTTACTCCTAGCCACTGAGACATGTGGTCCATGCTCCCTTTTTTGCGAGTGATAAATGGTTTCCTGTGCATAAATCTGGGCATCTGTGCAGAACAGGCAGGTGCCTGCAAATCTGCTCTGCCACAGTCAGGGACTCTGGGCTTCTGGCTGGTCCTTTCACATGTTGGCTTCCATTCAGAGAAGGTTAAGGAACAGAAGTCTCTTTTCAAGGAGCAGGAGAAGGCTCTGCTGCTCCCCAACTTGTTCTACCCTCAACGTGAATAGGTCTACCTCTGGGTCCATCTCTGTCCAGCGCTCTATGGACACCACAGAGCTACCCAGAAAGGGGGCATCGCTACTGGGGAACCATGGAGGGCCACTCTGGCCCTGGGCCTGAGGTTCTGCACCCGTGATGTGAAGGAACTCTTCACTGATCCTCAGAGATGGAACTCCTTAGGGCTTTTCCAGACACAGTTCTAATTTTGAGGATGCAGATTATCTACCATTCCCGTATTCCACTCTTCCTCATGAAAGCTCCCCCAAAACCAAGCATTACAAACATTAAAAACACAAAATATAATTATAATACAAAATGTATGAACAGCAGTGCCCAGCAGCAGAATTAAATTTTCAACAACTTTCAACGTTATTTAACAACTGCTAAACACATGCACGTGTTTAACTGGCACCTAAATGCAAACACTGTGGGGGCCAGTTGGACCTCAACGAGGAGGGGGTCACAACCGGGGTGTCACCACCAAGACAGCTCTGCTCTGCATGTTAACCTCATAAGGCAATAATTACAAGTCCTGTTTCACAGGGGCATCACCGGGACAGCCTATCCTCCCAAGTCTTAAAGTGTGAGTTGGTGAGTGCCAGAGGATGTAGTCCTTCAAATACTTGAAGCCTGAGCCACTAGTACCAACACCTCGAATTGGACCTGGCCACACAGTGGCAGCAGGTGCTTTCTTGGAGAACTCTCGACATAATGCCATATCACGTCATTTGCAGCTTCCAGACCATCTTCACAGAAAGCTGTCAAGTACAGTGAAGTAATCCAGTTGGGAGGTTCCTGAAGCATGAACCTCGGAGATAAGGCTGCCCCACTCCAAGGACATCCAGAGCTGGTAAACCAGCTGGGGCTGCGCTCAAGAACTCTTTGCCCGCAAAGCCATTCGAGCCTCCACAGACAGCTTTGAAGAAGTAGCCTCAGAAGTAGCCTACTTGTTCAGGAGCGGTGCTACCTTATTCCCAGACACAGGGACCACCAATCCACAAAGCCTCTACCTTGCTGGGGTTCAGCTTTGGCCTGCTGGCCCACATCCAGTCCATCACTGCCTTCCGACAGTGGTCCAGCATCTCTTGATTAAAATGGAATGGAATGGAATGACAGAGATGGGTAACATCCACACAGTGATGACGCTTTTTCCAAACTCCCATGTCCCCACCATGTTTGATAGCAAGAGACAGTCTGATAGGCTAAAAAGCACGGGGCGGGGGGGGGGATGACGGAACCTTGCACGAACCCACAGCACAGCTACTATGCATCCAAGCAGACGTCCTCCAATGCTACTTGTTAGTTTCCGCACTGCAGGTAGGGGCAGAATCTTTGTAAGATTGTACCTCTCGTTCCTAACCCCTCCAGCTTGCCCATCAAGATACTGAGGTCAATGACAGGGGTAACATGTGGCCCTCCAGATCGTTTGGCCCACAACTCCCACCTATACAGGCAGCATGGCCAATGGTGAAGGATTATGAGACTGCATGCCAAAACATATGGAGAACCACAAGCTGCCCACCCCTGCCCATGGGGTGAAAAGCTGCTGAGAGCCTGAGGACAAACTCTGGGGTAGCACTCTTCCTACCTCTCTCAGACAACCAACACTTGCTTGCAACATCTTATATCGATGAGTTCTGCAGAACAGAAACTGGCCCTTTGGAAGCAAAAGCAACAAACTCCGGCCCTTCACTAGGTCAGAAACAGGATGCACAAACTTGCCACTTGCAAGCAAACCATAGCCCATCTGCCTGTTCAGCCTGACTCACTGCTGACTGACAGAACTATAGCTCAGGGGACTTTCCACACAGAATGCAGAGGGTAGCTCTTCTGCACTCTTAAACATATTTTGCTTAGAGAAATGCAGGCTCTGATTTGCTTTCTCAGACACATAATAGGACTGGGAGATTATATTATCGGCTTGTTCTTGTGATACCGGTATAAAGCCAGGAACACGGAATTGCCTCAAGCACGAACTCTACCAATTGGCAGGCCAAAACTGCCACATTGTTCCATGGGAAATGATGGGAAGCTACTCAAAGCAGAAGGGTGTACAGGTTGGACTGGCATGGAGAAAACGTGGGTTCTAGTCCAGTGGCCATGAAACTCCTTGGGTGACTTTGGAGAAGTCACTGACTCTCTGCCTGACCTACCTCACGGGCTGTTGGGAGGATAAAATGGAGAGGAGAAGGGACCATGTAAGCCAAGAAGAAAAAAGTGGGATATAAATGTAATGGTAACTAAATACGATTTGGTAGTTGCTCACCGATATTCACATTTTAAAAAAATATCTCAGGGCAGAAAATAGGTTAAGATGCCTATAATATAAGCTGGGAAAAAGTTTCCACAGTAAGCCAAGAGAGCAGATGGAAATGCACACAAATTAGTGGCTCTTCATACATTATGCATTGTATTTCCTACATGAACAACATTTCCATGCAGGAATGGGCAATATGAAACACTCTCCCAGCACATTTCAAGCAAAGTACCTTACAAGGAAGGCCAGTATTATTTCCACACTATAAGAAATGAAAGCGTGGGGATAAGAACATTGTAACATGCCTCAGACCAGCTACTGAGGTTGTGGCTGAGGTCAGATCTGCAGCTAGGATTTCCTGGTTTACATTCAGCCACTATGCTAACATGGAGCCCTTATTGTGCTGTCTAGAGACTTTATAAACTGAACATTAAAAAAGAAGGATGGACAGGATCTGCCCTTGAATTCACAAAACATAAGTAAAACCGGACACACAGGTAAGAAGAGTCTGAAACAGCTCTTAAAAGCAAGCTCTGGCAAAAGTGATTTGATTAGGAGAGACTCAGCTACTCTATGTTCTTGTAGAATGGTCTACAAATCTACATTTCATGATCTTATCCTTTTTTTGTGTTCCTTTGCATTCCTTAAAATCAACTAGAAGCACAATCCCAGGTATCTTTAGACCAAAAAAAAAAAAAAATCCTTCAACTCTCAGCATTCTGCATGGGTGGTTGGAGGGTGCTGGAAGCTGTATAAATTAATAATACCAGCTGCACATTAAGTGTGGTATTTAAAGGTGCACAGAGAAACTTTTCAGAAGCTGTTCTGTAATTACAGAACTCTTTTACTTGACTGGGAACTCAAATCTGAAATCCCATACGGTTTTGAAGCTCACTGAACAAGTTATTACATCTGAGCCCACTGACTTTGCAAGACTGTTGTGAAGCTATGACACAGCCTTGGGAGAGGAGGGAGGAAGCAATTAATGCTAAGCCTAAGCATGTGAAACTGCATAATCATCTTTTGTCACTTGTGCTTCTCCTTTTCCTCTCTTCTTTCTTCCATTACCAAATTAACATTACATGCCAGTTAAAGCAAAGACCTATCCTTTCTGTTAGGTCATTCTGTACAGTATCACGTATAAGAATGGCACTACATAAATACTAACGGCAGGAGCCTAACCTTTGGGTAGGTGTCTGGTGGCCATACTTGTTATTTTCAGCTACTCTGCCACCACCAAATAATTACGAACTTAAAAATAATCTACAAAGTACTTATTCTTTCTTTTCTTCTTATCCACATCATGCTACTTCCTCCAAAGATCTCATGGCCCCATATATAACATCTCTCCCATTATATTCTCATAACAAACCTGAACGTTATGGGGCCATAACATGAGTGGCCTAAACTTTTCAGTTGGTTTCAGACCATGCAGGCAGAAATATCTGAATCCACATCTCCCTTGGGTCTTAAGCTCAGCAACCACATTCACACCCTTCAAACTGCTCCTATTCACCAGGGACAGCCTTTGTTTTCCAACCTTGGTAAAACACTGTCCTCATTTGGCCTTTTTGGAAAGGTGTTCAGGATGTTTTTAAAAAACATACCTTTGTGTGCTTCAATTTTCACCTTCCATCTCCCAGGGTTCTAGAAATCAAATCAAGAGCAGTGGCTCTGATGTGACTAACATCCCTGCACAGAAACACAGACAAGGACCTTGCTTCCCGTTCTCCTGCATTGCTACCTATCCAGGTATTGCTATCAACAGTGTGCCATGATAGAATGTTTTGAGGGTCCCTGTTTTCCTCAAGAAATGTTGGAGACCATGCCAAGCTGCTGCAGCACATGTGTAAGAGACACAGAAGAGTTTACTCCACTGCATTCAGTTGGGGTTAAGAGGTAAGTACAAGACTGAAACATGGGTTATGAATCACAAAGTCCTTGGTCTGAACAGCTGTCATTTCTGCAATGAAGTAAATGAATGACCTTACACAGCCCACTCTCTTCTGCAACACAGAAATAACAACACTTGTCCTATCTTAAAAGGTTTTTGCAAGGATCTCAACAATGCACGGGATAATTAAAGTTAGTGTGGGGCAGTGTTTAAGTAGTCTAAGATAAAATTGATCAGAGTTGAAAGCTTTCATACAACCGGGGTGACCTTGCTCTCTCTCCCCCTAGCCTACTAGTAAGGGCTGTTGTGAGGACGTCCAATCATGCCACTCTGAACTCACTGGAGGAAGGCTGGGATAAAAACTAGAATCAATATAGTTTTTAAATTTAAGATACTGCATCGGAAGTGCACTGAATGCTATGAAAAGGGCCAGTCAGAGTCCCAGCTCAGTCAGAGAGCTCCCTTGGTGACCTTGTACTAAGTCTCTAGCTGCCCCTGCTTCATCACTTCACAGGGTTGTTGTGCAGGACAAAATGCAGAAGAGCTGGGACAGCAACCAGCATCCCACCTTGGAGAAAAAGCATAGATACAAGTGTAAGAAGTAAAAACACATGGTTATCATTACGCCCTAGCAGCAATGGCAATAATAACAATCATCATCATAGCAACAATGTGTACACTGGCTCTGGCACTGCCCAGACAGGGGAGGCCATCAGCCCAGGAACTAAACACAGAAAAAGGAAACTACCAGGAATGAAACAGACGCCTCTCCCCGCTGCCCCCCATCTTGCCCCCAAGGGCTCCTTCCCAGTGAAGCCCCCTCCCCAGAAACACCTGCTGCACCCCCACTCCCCTCCCTCCAGGGTGGGACGCCCAAGGGTCCCTCCGCCTCGAATCCCGGCTGCCTCCCGCCGGGCTCTTCCGCTCCCCTCCCTCCGAAGCTCCGGGCCGGGCCCGCCCCGCTCCGCCCACTCCTTCCCTCACCGCTGTCGCCGATGATGAGGAGCTTGAAGAGGTGGTCGTAGTCCCGGGCCATGGCCGGAGAGATGGGTGGGAGGAGCGGGCGCTCCGCGCGTCGCGACAAGGCCGAGTCCCCTCAGGCGGCAGCTCCGAGGCCGGATCCCTCGTCGACCCAAGAGCCGGAACTGACAGCCGCGGCAGCGGCCGAACAAGCGACGGCGACACCCCCCGTCCCTTCCCTTCCCCTTTACCGCGCATGCGCGCCGCTCCGCCCGGGCAGCTGGAAAAACCGCCAGCTGCCCATGGTGGCCCCACTGCGCAGGCGTGTCCCCGCCCCTCTCGGCTGTGCGGCTGTTTCCTCGTCGGCACAGCGCTCATTTCCTTCCGCTTCCCTTTTCTAACATGGCGCTCGCCGGGCAGTTTCCAGCGGTGTAACTCTTCCTTTCCTCCTTTCGCTGTTATGCGCAGGCGCAGCTTAGTAGGCAAACCAAAGTGGGGGAGGGGGAGCGCTGCGCGTGCGCCGTTTCTTGGCGGCGGTCTGGTTCCTCACCGGGCGAGTTTACCTGAAAGGAAGTGCATGAGGAAAGATTTATTCTTCAAAATAATATGAATAATTCGAGTAATGCATAGCTTTCTGCCGCAAAAAGAAGTCGTTTTATTTCACCAACGTGTTTTCGACTGAATTCGCCAATTCTAGCAAATGTAAAGGCTAGAGTGCCCCCGAGTACGTGCAGAGTGACTTCATCACACCACAGCCGTGAGCCATCCCTTGTTCTCCGAAGAGGAAGGCCTTTCAGATACAGAGTTTGTTCCGTAGAGCCCTTTAAAAAAAAAAAAATCTGGCCTTTGGCCTGACTGTCAATTCATTTCTGGAGTCAAATTTGTTCAGTGGCTTGCAAGTGCCCATATAAAACAATGAGTTATAGTACCAACATAACTGCAATGTAACTGTGCTGTTGTGGGTCAGTGAAACAGACATCCTCAACCATAGAGAGCAACAACCATTTGAACACTCTGGACTTTAACCATTCAGATGATTCATTGTAACAACAATTCTCCAATTTTATTAATTAAAGATTGTTTGCTTTTGATTTCCCTGACAAAGGTCAAGACACCTGAGCAAACTTTGCAGGCATGGAATAAGAGGAGGGGTCCTTTTTATGTAACTAGTTGAAGAACAGAAAACAGAGAATGATGAAACCTCCTAAATAGTGGCTTGGTCCCATAGCGACCAAAAATTGTTTATAAATGGTCAATAGTTGGGATCTGTATTGGAGCCAGTGCTTGCTTGCTTGCTTATTTATTTAAACGTTTATATACCATCCACTACTGAGGTCTTGGGATGGTCTTACAATAAAACAGAGTGAAGCACAGCATCCAAATAAGTTTTCTATACAATAAAACCCCACATTGAAATCACAATCAAACTTTAAAATACTGAGGAAAATGAAAAGGGTTTGGCCTGGTGCCAGAAAGAATAAAGTGCTTGTTTATACATGATCTGAAATTAAGAATGAACAAAGTGGAGATTGAGTTTGCTGATGAATTGTTTAAGGTCGTTAAAAAAGAGGCTGTAAAGAGCTCCATAATCTTGCTAAACTGGTGGATCAGGTATCAAAAAGGCAAATGTGGTTTAACATAAGTGATGCACACTGGGACAAAAAATCAACTTCTAGGCTATGTTAATGGGATCTGAACCACTGAAAAAAGTCATTGAGGTTGTATTAGACAGCTTGATGAAAGTTTCAGCCCAGGAAGTGGCAGCTGCAAAACACAAAGCTCCATATTAGGCATAATTAGGAAAGGAATTGAAAATGAAACTGCCACATTCATATTGTCCTTATACAATTTTACAGTGTAACTGCACTTAGACCATTCCTTTACAGTTCTGATTAGTACACCTAAAAAAGCATATTGTAGAGCTGGGAAAAAGTACAGAAAAGGACAGCTAAAATGAATAAGGTGTTTCAGCAACTCCCCTATATGGAAAGAATACGTCTGGGAGAGTTTAGCTTAGGCAAGTGATGTGAGACATGATAGAGGTGTACAAAATTATACAGGACGTGCAGAAAGTAGATAATGAGACATTTTCTTCTTGTCCTTATACGAGAACCCAAAGAGGTCATCCCATGAAACTGGTGGGAGATTCTGGACAGAGCAAAGGGAAGACTTCTTCAGACAGAGCATAGTTAAACTCTGGAATTTATGATGACCAGCTGAACTGATGGTCACCAGTTTGGACAACTTTAAAAGGGGCAGACAAGATGTGGAGAAGGCTTTCAGAGATAGTATGCCTGTGCACACCAGCTGCTGGGAAACATAGTGGGGAGAGTACTGCTATAAGTGCTGCTTGTGGGCTTCCAGTGTGTGAACCCGGTGTGTAATACTGGGTTAGATGGATCCTAGGTCTTATAATCTGCGAAGAATTACGGCTGCCCCATGTTGATTCAAGCGCCACAAAATCTGGAAGTTGGAAGTAAAGTCCATTGCCCCACGATCACCCGTGTTGTGCGTTGCTAGGAATTCTGCTTGCTTACAAAATACCTGCTATCCATAATACATAAATACATAAATCCACCCACTCATCCTTCAGAGACATACATGCTGTCTCTTCCTGCATTGTACTCAGGACAATGTACTGCATTGTACTTAGGAGAAGCAGGTTGGTGTCTGCAAAAAATAATAAATGGAAACGAATTGCATGATCAGGCTTGTGGCAGCAATGGATGAGCTGCCTCTGAGAATCTAGCTCTTATATTTTTGCCCTTTTGTAAACATGCAGGTAAGAACGGTTACTGATTGAAACGTTGATGCTGTATCCACTGAAAAAAATACCAATAAAAGGATCTTCGCCTGCTTTGCAGCCACCTCTACCTTTTTCTCTGCAAAGCGCCCAGCTTCCGTAGGTTTGACGTCTCAGCTGATTAGCATAAAACACCCAGAAGTCTTAGAGCTGATGCATCAGCTTTTCAATTCAGAAAGGGGACCCCACTCTCCATCCTCCCATTGAGTGAAAATGGAAGACAGGATGCTGTGTGGTGTTGGATGGCTAGTGATCGGTATACTTTCCGTTGTCTCGCTAACGAGAGTTCGCCATGCCTTCATTCATTGTCGTGCAGCTTGGGCCGAAAGAGCCCGGCGTTTATCGGACAGCTTTGCGCAGTGGCAGTATCGTAGCCAATGAGGTTAATCCGAGGCGCGATTATTGCTAATTGAAAACTTTTCCCAATACCCCGCCATGACGACTTGAAATATAGTCGGCAATGGCAATTTTTGACAGTCTCTACGGAGACTGATAATTTTGGTTTAAAGAAAGATGAATAGTGAGGATACGCTTCATGTGCCTGATATCTAATTTCAGTTTATTCTTTTGTAAATAAACCTTAGCTAAATTTTTAAATATGGCACAATGAACGTTAGTCTTTTCGGAAGCTTGTTTGAACGTGGCTCTACTCAATTTCTGAAGCTTTGGGGATGATATAAGTAGTAGTTTTATTGAAGTCCTGTTTATTGGATGGAACTTGTTCCACCAGTTGATGGCAAGAGCTGTTTCTTACACAAGGGAAGGAACATTCCTGCACTGTGAATCCCGTGTAAGTCTGTGGGCAGAAGGAAATCAGGCTGTACCTGTCAAACTGCTGGAGGTCATTTGTCAAATTTTAAAATCCTACAAATATTTCCTTAGCCACAATGGGCACAGACCATCTTCAAACAGACTTCTCTTATACAGTACTGATCAGTCTGTCAAGTCGTTTTCTCAATATAAGCCATACAATCTATGCCCCCCCCCCCCCGATTTCTGGCTATAATTGCAAAACCAGGTCTTTCTTAAAAGGGGGCACAGTTATGGCCCTGTCTTGCAGGGGAATGGAGGGGAAACGATTTAAACAGTGAAGTGGGGAATTAGCCTGCCACAATTTTATATAAAGCTTACACATTTACAAGGTGGTCACAATGCCCAAGTGAAACAGCAGAATCTTCCATTGTGTACCAGCTTTCACCATTCTGGAGCTCTCTGGATGTGTTAGACTACAACTCCCAGCATGGCCCGGCCACCCATGCTGGGAGTTCTAGTGGAACATTGCTGGAGAAGGTGAGGTTGTACACACGTTTTTGCTCAGAATTGTCACAGATTACTAGCACCTGCTTTTCATGGCTACTTGGCTTCTGTGTTGATACCTGGGGCGAAAGTGCAGCCCTCAGTGCAGACACAGGGCCTTAATGTCCATATTGCAGCATGTGCCTGTGGACAGCAGGGTGGTGGAGCAGACGGCCCTCCAGAAGGCGAGGGCTCCAGCCCTGGAGGGCCATCCTCGTCATGGGGGTGAATTGCAAGAAGAAACTGTTCAGAAGGAACTGATGTAGCAGGAGGTAGCCCTTTAGATATCCAGGTAAGGACCAGGGCTTGGAATGGTTCCTGGAAAAGGATTGCAGTGCCAATGGGCTATCAAGGAGCCATCACTCATATACTCAAAAACAATGTTTCTTCAGTGTCATCTGTAGTGAAAGCCCTTCCCTTGAACAGGTTCACCAAGTACCATCACTGCACATTTTTCTGGCAGTGTCAGGTTCACATTTTATTCACCATCAAACCCAACATCAGCATTTCAGAACACATGTACAATATGGGTACACATCACAGAGTCCTTAGGAGCAGTTTTGCATTATGTCCTGCCTTCGGCGCCTAAGGACATGGAGACTGGGCAGGGCCTTCTCTGTGGCAGCCCCTAAACAATAAAATGTGCTGTTTCCCAGCATCCCTGCCCTATGGTGGATGGCAGAGCCTCTTACGTTGCACCTCTTCTGATGATCCCTTATTGTGCTTATTGCTCTCCTGTGCTTATTGTGGTGCACCTAATTTGACTGTTCATGGTTTTTTTTTTAATTATTATTTTAGTGTTCTAAGTGTTTTGATTGAGCTTAACTTTGTTCAGGTTGTTCGGGTGAACAATAGCAAGAAGAGGTTCTCCCGGAGATTCGGGGCTCTGCTTCCGCCACCGCCGCCACCGCACCAAAGACCTGCCTCTCCTCGATCTTCGCAGCAGCACGAACTCTTTTCACACGTGCAGAGCGCCATCAACTGCAACAGGCGCAACTCGTGATTTTTTGTTTTGTTTTTTTTTTAAAGCGCGGGGGGGCATTTTCTGTAAGGTCTCCGAACCGCCGCGGGTTAAGGAACGTTCCCCCTGTAGAAGGGGCGCCGGGGGCTGGGGGGAGACCCTTTCCTTGCAGCTCCCACGGCCGGCCACTAGGGGCGGGGCGGCGCTTCGAGGCGCTCGAGGTGGGCGAAGCGGAGGGGGTGCTCGCGCGCGCCCCCACGTGCCCGCGCCCGCGCGAAGGGGCGGGCCTCCGCGGGCCGGGTGGGAGAAGGGGCGGGGGGCATCCGTGAGCGCGCCCGCGCGTGCGCGTGCGGTGGCGGAGCTGAGGGGAAAGTTGCGGTCGCCCCAGTCGAGCGGTGGCCGCCGGAGCGGAGCGAGGCGACGGCAACATGGACGACCTGGGTGAGCCCCGAGCGGCTGGGGGGAGGCTGGGAGGGAGCGACCCTCCCCTCCCCGACCCTCCCCAACTCTGCCTCCCTTTACTTTCCAGGGGAGGGTCCCCCCGCCCGCCCCCTTCCGTGGCGCCCTCCCCCGAGCTTCGCCCCACAGGCTGGCGCTTCTCGCCGGCGCAGCGCCCCGCGCGCCCTGGCCGTCCAGTCTCGATCCGGGCTCAGCCCCCTCCTCGCAACCCGCCCTGTTCCTCGCCTCCCTCCGCCAAAGCCCCTCAGCCAGTCGCAGCCTCACCCCCCTTCCCAGGAAGCGTTCATTCCAGCTTCTTGGGGGTGTTAATTTCATTCTTTCCCACCCCCCAAGTTCCTGGGCTCCCCCGGCCCCCCCCCCCCGGTGTTTGGACTTCAACCTGCGTCCTTCTCTCCCGTTGTGTGCCCATAACATTTCCCCTCGGGTCAGTGTCCCAATTTCTCCTATCTCCCCCCTCCCCCACCACCTTCTTTCCCCAAGCTGGTTCCATACAGCTGTGTGGGACTACCACACCCATCATCCCCTGCCGGGAGTGCCATTAACACGAGGCTGGGCAAGCCGCTCCATGTTGTACCTTCTGAACATCTATACACAGCGCACTGTGTTCCAGTCTTCCCCCAAACTCTCTGCAGCCAACTCCTTGGAGAGATTGAGTAAACCCTTCAACACAAGTGTGCTTTTAAGAACATTTGGGAAAGAAAGTGGAGAGGATTTTATATCCTCAGAAGTGGCAGGTAGCCTTTTGGGTCCATTAGAAGAGAAAAAATGCAAACACAACAGCAAAGTAATGCATTTTATTGCTAAGCCAGCCAAAACGTCCTATAAATTAGTGAGCGTACTTCTGACTTCCTTGGGACTTGAATGTTTTAGGTTATGTTTAATATCCAGCCCACCAAAAAGCTTTGAAGAAGTGAGAGATTGTACACTATTATGTGTGACCTTTTTGATTAGCCCTGATATGCTGATGTGTTGGACTGTGTTTTAGAGTTGGCAGAACTTTTCTGTAAAAGAGGAGGAAAACTTTTGATGAGGAAAACTTTGGGATATTCAGACTACAATCCAAAGACTACTTGCTGTTGAACTTACTTTTGGGCAAACAGGCATTGTGAATACACCAGTATTGTGGTGTTTTGGCACTATCAGTTCAAGGAAGTATTTAGGAAACTTTTGTGCCCTGTTTTCTATTTGTTAGCAGGACCCTTTTCAAGTTGAAAATTTTCCCGTATTTGCTGTTTTGGGTGTTTCTGACATATACATGCTTTTCTTTTTTCTCTGAGGTATGTCTCTTATTGCATTTTTAGGGAAGTGGGTTTTTAAGTTTAACTCTCCGTTACCTGGTTTGCTTAGTTCATTATTAGGCTTTCTGCATTTCTCCTTTGGCCCTTTTCCCAGTTTAAATTCATGCTTGTTTTCCTGCTAAGCCTTTCCTACATTATTCCGCATTCCCTTCAGTCTGTTTTAAATTTTTTTGGTAAGATTTCCTCTTCCAGCAGTATCTTGGATGGCAATCCTATGCTTACTCACCTGAGATTAAGTTTCATTAAACTCAGCAGGACTAGACATTTAAATTGCACTGTTAATTATTTCATTAATATGCTCCACAACAAAAATGTGGAATAATTTGTCCAAATACTAGCCAGAAAGTTGCAACATATTTGCAGTTTTCTTACATGACATGTTTAATACTTCTGCTTTCTGTATATATTGCAGAAATAGCAGCTGTTCATACATTTCTTATTCTGCTAATTTTTATATCTACAGCATGCTGTATTCAGTATGCTCAGAATCTCATGCGAAACCTCACTCATGCAACTCCTTTATCATCTTGCTGTATCTTTTTGTGGTGTATCTTTTTCATATAACAACTAAAAGCTTAACTGAGTCCCCCACTTCATTCATATTACTCCATTTATGGACACTCCTTTTATCTGCTATAAACCGTATTTTTTATTGAACATGCCTCACCTAACACCCTCAGCTTTGCTTTAAAGTACTAGACTACTCATGAGGCTCATCTATCCTATTCCATGCCCCCTTCCCCCAAGATTTATTTATTTATTTGATTTGGTTTCTAGTCCACCTTTTTTCTTATAAAATTTCTTACCAAGTGGCTTACATAATACTCCTGCTCAATCTTATCTGCACAACAACAACCCTGTGAGGAAGGCTTGGCTGAGCATTTGTGACTGGGCCAGAGTCACCCAGTTGGCTCCATAGCTGAGTGGGAGTCACCCAGGTTGCCTGAGTTCTACTCCCGTGCTTTGAACCACTACACCACACTAGCATATCTTGATGCATTATGATCAAGTACTGGATGCTAGACGAATTATGCGATTGCTTATCCTGTCACTTCCTTAATACCTATTTAGCTTTCACTTTCATACACTCTCCAAACATCTGCCACTCATACCTGACAAATAACACCTATTTCTAACCTTCCTCGTTGTTTGGAAGTTCATATGTGCTTATGTTATTTATGACCTTAACTTTTTCAGCACATCCATTATCCAGCAGCAGTATTTTATTTAGCCCGCAGTGACAGAACATGCTATTCTTTTTCTATTACACATGTATTGGTTTCTCCTAAATTGACTAAAATTGTGTTTCTAAGCAGTACAACTGTGGTGTAAAATTCACAATACTCAATCAGGGGTTTAGGTGTTTACAAAACTCAATCATCCTTCTGTCTCTTCTGTTCTTTCTGACATGATATGCATACTCCATGCATATACTTAATGTAGATAGTATATTCTGAGGTAGATAAGGTGAGATGCTTACAATATTCCAAAAGCAGAGTGCTGGGCAAGTTTAGACACAAAAAAATGTATTAGCATGTCCCAGCCAGTCTAGCTTGCTGGGGAATGCTGGGAATTGTATGTCTTTTTTCTGTCTAAATTCGCAGTGTTGCACCTTAAGTTAGTTTTTTCTATAAGAATAATCATCCTCAGATTTGAAACTGATTTGCCATCACATCTAGCTTACCTTTCCACTTATATTCTGCCTGAAGTGTTTTACTTCAGTCTTGTAACTCCATTAGACTTCCAGGCATATATAAACTGCTTTCTTTTGGCATTGGTATTAACAAGGTCTGGCTTCTATTTTTAGTCTTGGCTTATAATTTTTGCCTGTGTAGAACAATCTTGAAGGTGAAACCAGCCATCAGTTTTTATAACCATTTTAACTAGAATATAACCATCTTGAAATTCAAAGATTCTGTCCTAGTTTATTTAGTTAGTTAGTTAGTTAGTTAGTTAGGAGACTTCTATGCCGCCCCATTCGCCGAAGCCTCGGGGTGGCTCACATCCATAAATAAACTTCCATAAAATAATATAAATTAACAGTATAAATTAAGTCACCCTGGCCTTTATGGAATCTAAGCACCTTCACAAGCCATGTACAACATTTTCACATTTGTACAAGAGTAGAAAGAACACTTAAGTGAAGAGTCTAAGGAACAGTCTGTTTCCTATGACTGTCAGAGGCAGAACCTGTATTGCAAGTAACCCAAGATCCATTTATGGCATCTCCATCTTTCCTCTAATAGCAAACAAATGTTCTGTTTAGATGTCTGCAGGAAAGACTTTTATTACTAGACTATGAGTATTAAATTACTGTGCTAATTTAAAGTTGGCAATAACACCTAAAAAAGAGGAAGTCTAAACTGAGGGTGTGAGAAATCCATCAAAGTATTGACTAGGTCCTAGCTAAAAGCTGTGGGTGCCATTTTGAATATGCATCTCCCATCTGGGGTTGTTTTCTTGTGGGAACCCCGTGAATGTATGTTATATGAGACTTAGGGTGGGTTGCATATTCAAAATATGGATGTACTGAGCAGCCTCACCTGTAGTGGGCTGTGTCAGGTAAACAGCTCCTATATGTTTAGCAGCCAGTTGGCTACCTGAGGCCCGGCCCTGCCCTGGATGTACTAGATTGAATAAAAATGGCTGAGGATCATGGTAATTTGATAAAAGATTGTGCATGAAGATACATTTTATTGGAGTAAGGACATCTGTGATTTCACTTAAGTCCGTCTCCTTCCCAAGAAATCGTTGGATATGTCGTAGAATATGTGGTTCTCTCTGAAAGGTCCTTGGGCTGTAATTTGAGGTTTCAAATATTTTCCCATTATTGTATTCTGCCTTCATGAACAGCTTTCACTGAGGCATTCTTTGGCTACATGCACACAGTTCGACGGCATTTTTTGAAACAACTCTGTGTTCTAAAACCATGGGTATTGGAATATACAAACTACAGCTGTTGCATTCCATAAATTCACAGAGGTATTTGTGACTCTGCCATCTGGTCAGATGGTGCATTGCTCTACCAGGGGCTTTTCTCCATGGAGAGGTGCTTTCTCCGTGCTTTCACTTTTGTCATGTGCATTGTTAATTTGGCAATTGACTTCCAGTTTTTTTGTGGTTGTGCTGAGAAGGCTTGGATGCTGGGAAGAATGATCTTTCTGGTTGTAAACATCAAAACACTGGAATGGTTGTGAAATTGTTCTCCTTCCTTCTGTACATTACACAGTGTGTGTGTGGGGGGGGATTAAACTATTGATTTCTATGCTGTAAGAGTATAAGATTCATATCTGAATGTAAGGTCTGTCCATATCTAATGCATCCAGGAATTTTCTTGTGTGTAGCCCTTAGCAAGGCTCCTATTTTACCACCTCATCTGTAAAATAAGAGTTCTAAAAATCCAGTTGTAGAGAGCTGGTATGAGGATGGCTGAAATTTGTAAAATCGGCTGGAAATACATGATATTACATGTAAGCAAGCCAACCTTGTAACTGAGAGCTGTTTGTTCAGTGGCTTTGCTTTTCTTCTTTGGAAGCCTTAACATTTTTCCATCTTCCCTCATTATCACTCAGGTACAGAAAATCTGACTATAAACATCTCAACAACAGAGAACTTCAAGGTTTAAAATTGCACTTGGATCTTATTAATTAATTAAAATACTTCTTAACCACTCTTCAAAGAATG